GGAGAAAAAAAAATGTTTGGCATTCAAAGGGGGTGTAGCATGGCAAATTCTGGTTAACGCCATCTACGACTACTTTTGGACAACTGCACGTAAACGAATGGACTTGATTAACGGCCAGCGGGTGCTATATAGCGTTCGCGAAAAAGACCGAAGTTCTTCTCGCGCTTCGGTTTCGCGTATGTTGCACGCACGTGAATAGACCTTTAAAAAAAGATGTTGTATTGCCCTTTAGGTGCCAAAACATGGGTCGGTCGGTCACAGATTTTTCTTCTTTTTTTAAAAACTTTTTAAAAGTTTTTTCTACCTCTTTAGGCAGATATATCTCAGTTTTGAATGCTTTAATATTTGTCTTCTCTAAAAAAACGGGGCAAAAATTAAAAAGCCGACCGTAGATTTCAAGATTTTTGGGTCGGTCGCAAAGGGCAATACAATATCTTTTTTTTTTTATTGCCATGCACCAAACGTTGTCAGTAAGAAGTAGTTTGTTTTTTGTTTTTTCCAATATTTTTGTTATTGATTCCAAACAATACAAGTTGTGATCGTTCTTAACAAATTATATTTACCGTAGTGGGGTATCTCGCATATGATTATCTCATGATATGGTGTTGTCAATGATGATGATGATCGGTTGAAGACCATACCTTTGACAGTTCCTCTAATGACCGTGCCATCGGGTAGCAATGAAGAGGGACACATGTCATCTTTAGGGCACTTCAATACTTCACAATTTATACCTAGAAACAAAGAGGGATCTTTATAATTGTGTTCTGTTATCTGTTTCAACTATATTTTAATAAGAAAATTGTCAATCATACATTCATACTAAATATAATTATGGTAAATTACCCACGTATGAAACGAATCTATTTCGTTATTAATAACTCTTAACTTCTTGCTACGAAATATAAAATGATCAATAGTTTCTTTTTCACGACAGATTTCTCATTCGTTAGACTGTACGATTTTTCATGTAAAAAGATTATCTTTAGAGGGCAATATCCTATGAATTCATTTTAAATTATATTTGTTGACATTATTATCTCTTATCTTATTAAATTTGAATTAAAATATATATTTCCAAACAAATTTTTCTGGTAGGCCTAAAATATTTTGCCAAAAATGGAAACCAACTATCTTTCTTTTTTTCTAGCATTAAATTATAGTAACTTTTCGCTTTAGTACATTCAACGTTTATAACATCTAAATTTGTCTCAATGTGGCTACAAATTAAGGGTAGTTATTGAACATTTATAAATACATTACACAATTACTCTTTCATATTTATCACATGATTCAATAAAAGTTGTAGTCGGAACGTACAATCGGAATGATATGAATAGAAAGTCCGTTGAAACAAATACTCCGAACAAATATTATAAAGGAGTTCCATATGTCATATTAAAGCTTATCTGCCATAGTTTATAGGAGGGATTAGAGCGCCCTGCAAGGTCACTGGACAGGTGGTTATCTCATCAACTCAGCTCTCAGTTAACATAAGAAAAAGAGGATCATGGGGGACCAATGGTCACCGATAAGGCATTTTTTGTTGTAAGAGGGCGCAAGTAGCAATAAGTAGTGCAGTGGGCCTTTAAAGTGACTCGGTAACATTGTTGAAGGTTGATGAAAAAATTGCTTAATTTGTGTATAAAATGTTACTTATTATATTCCTTCTACTGTACTAACCCTCTGACATGCAAAAAAATCCTGAAAAAATTCTCAAACCACGACGATATCTATGGTTTTCTTTGAAGGCGTCACTGTGCAACACTCTCTAACAGTGATTAACAGTAAATTCTCTTAACCATTTTTGAAGTTTCCTAACCGTTTTTTCCATGAAAAAAGACATAAAACAGGTTATTAAAAATCTGTTAACACTTAAATGTCTGGAATGGTATTTAAAAAACAATTTTTTGCTTTGTGACAATTTACATTCACCTAAAATATAATTTAATTGTAATAATATAGTTGGGAGAATTGAGGAATCGATCAGATCAGTTTTTCCCAATTTGTATCATTAATAATGGTCCTTTTTCACTCAAATGTTCAGATCATCTTTAATTGTACATCTAGCATTGAAGTCACTACCTTAGCACCACTTTCTCTCATCTGAACAATGTTACAAAGTCCCCCAAAATGCGTCAGACTGGGGTACATGAAAGGACACTGAATCCAAGTGCTCCTCCGCTGTCTGACACTTCAGTTCAAAAGCTGCTTTGTGACGCGACGTTTAATCCCCGGGAATAAGGAAACCAATGTCTCACAAATTTGATCTTGTTAAACCGATTAATTTCTTTATTTGAAACAGTTATTTTTGTTTCTATTGAGTTTGTTTCCTTTGTTGTCTAGAGTTTTTTTCTAATTGTGGCGGATCCAATATTTGTCAAGGGGGAGCCAACGTGTGCGCAAAGCGCCCTGCGAGCGAATAAGCGCGAGCTATTCTGGGCGGGTTTATAGCAATTCGGAACCTTCAAGATAGCCGTCTTGAGCGAAAGACACACACAATCTCTCCTAATAACAATTTTATACAATAAAGGGTTGTCTTGGGAATCACTTCTATCATTACGGGTGGGATCCAAATGCATGCATTAGGGCCCCTTGAGGATTGATGGGGCAAAGCCCCTGCTGGGGGTACAGGGGGTGGAGCCCCCAGACGCTCTCGAGTTTTTAGCAATTCAGAACCTACAGATTTCAGTTTGTAGTGCACCTATTGGTTTATTTAGTTGGAAAATCGATTCTCTTTCACACACACACCTTATCCTTCGGAGTTCGAACAAATTTGTTGAAGTAATAGTTGTCTTGGGGGCCACTTCTCTATGTATGGATAGTATCCAAGGGCCCGGGGTTGCAGGGGGAGAATCCTGACGGGGGGGGGGGTCTAGGGGGTAGGAGCCCCCAGACGCTCCCTAGTTTTAATTCAAAATCTTCAAGATAGCCGTCACGAGCGATAGAAATTGTAATTTTCTCCTTTAAAGGTAATACAAAGTTTTGGTGTAGGGTCATGAATTTGGTTCACATGAACATATTGGAAGCATATACTATTCAACAATATTTAGTGATCGTTGTCGCGGTCGAAATCGACTATAAAGTTATGAAAATTGAATAATAAACACTTTATGTTGAATAGCTCCCTCTCAAGGTCAAGATATTAATTAAACTATAAAACAATGTTTATTGAGTAAAATCGACCGATTAGCTATTCCTGTTCGAAAATTATATACCACAACTACATACTCTGAGATTTTCATGGTCGCAGCTACCATTGTACGGCCGTAAGAGCTATTTGAAATTTATGAAAATTTACCGGGAGCACCGGTAAATCTTTATATTCAATTTTTCTCGAAAGCAAAAGTGTTTTAGGTAGTAAAATTTCTGGTGTTATTAATACATTCACAGGGGCATCCAAATACATCAAACTTGTAAAGAATCACTATCCACCCATTTTTCAAAATTTGCCAAAACTTTGTAATACCTTTAAAATAACACATCCCCTATCAAATCACTCGTTTCTGTCTTAAAGACAATTTCATAGACAATCTAATTTATATTTATGTATTCATTTAGGTTTGATGCTTTTCTTCTCTCTCAAACACACACACACACAAACACGCACACGCGCACACGCACACGCACACGCACGCGCGCACACGCACACACACGCACTCTCTCTCTCTCTCTCTCTCTCTCACTCTCTTTTTCCCTTTGTTCTTTTTAAAGCCCACCAAAAGGTGAAGCCGCGGTCGATTCGGCTCCTCTGGATCCGCCCCAGGTGGTCAATGACGAGAAATATAACTTCATTTGTTTCCCGCAGTCGGGACAGTTATTTTTGTCTGCGGCACAGATTGGGGTTAGGTGCGTGTTGAGCCTATGGGAAAGTTTAGGGTTAGGGTTAGGGTTAGGGTTAAATCAAGATATCTTTTTTTTAAAGCCCCAATCTGTGCCGCAGAAAAAAATGACGCAGTTGGGACAGTCAGTGAGAAACTGACCTATGTAGATAAGTCATAAGGTAAAATAATAAATAATGAAGAATTTGAATGATTCTGTAGGCAAGTTCTGAAAAATCGATGTGAATAGTAGTATTCTCATACGTGTATTTCCATCTTCATAGAGCAAGGATTATAATACCTATCCAAACAGAAAACTTTCATTAACTGGAATGACCATGACACGTAATGTAGGCTTCTACCAACCTTATAACATGTATTTGAACGACAAGCTCTCATCCACTCCTATGGACTTTCGCAAGCTAAGTGAATCTTCACACAGTTTCCTGCTGTTTGCTGCCTCGAGATCGCACACACACGCGCGCACGCACACACGCACATATACAGGCGCACACCCAAACACACCCACTTTCTCTCTCTCTCTCTCTCTCTCTCTCTATCTATCATTTTCTTCCTATCTCACTCGCTTTCGGCTTACTCCCCCCCCCCCCCCTCCTCTCTCTTCCTCTCCTCACACAACACACGATCTCACTCTTTCTAGGTCTCTCCCTTTCACTTTCACTTTCTGTCCCTCGCCTATATTTCCTATGTTTCCTGATTATACAAAAGAATCTTCTTTCTCATTGTTGTCACTTTTTTTGTTATTTTCGACAGCTTTTCTTCTTTTTTCGAGCAGGGGGTGCACTCCATCAAAATATTTTCACCAAACCCTTTTGACTCACTAAACCAAAAGATGAGGACTTTAAAGAAAGAGTACATTTCAGGTCAAATCAATTTAGGACATTACTAAATCAGGTACATATTATGTCACATTTATCCCATTATCTTTTAAGGACTCAACGATATCCAGTACACATTTAGCTTCATGAATGCTATATCAAGCGGAAGGGCATCCTATGGCAAGCGCCGGTCACGGTCCATCCGAGCGTGTTGCAATACCGCTGACGGGAAGCACCTAAAAAAACCACGTGTTCGACAACTTTCTCTCTCTTTCTCTATCTAACAAAAGTCCATGTATGGTATGATATAAATCATACATCCTGATCCAGCATTGCTTCATACACGTTTATGATAGCGCCGGGGTAACAACACTGATTGAAACTTTCATATACGGACTTAGCGAATATTTCCTTACTTTGTTCACCGTCATTTGAGTCAAGCTGTATACTCTGTTGCTTGTTCAGTTGCAGTTTCAAAAAGAAGTCATTAGACGATCCTCTTCATATTTTATAGCAATCTCATCAAATTGATGTTATATATCGTTGATTAATTGGATGCGGATAGGTGAAGAAATTTGACGCGAACTCAATACTGACACCTTTTTTTTTTATCAAAGATCTGTTCCATAGCAGATCTTTCACATTTCTGAATGACTTATTTTTCATCATCCTAAATCTTCGGAATCCTCAGGACGACAGAGGAACCTATTAACAGCATTGACGAGGCACTTTTTTTGTAAGAGGTCCGGATACTTTGAATAAATCAGGCTTTCATAAGAAGGTAAGCATTCATTGTATATAATGACGAAGATTTTTTTCCGTATGGCTGAAGTAGAATACAAATGTGCAAGTGAAAGGGATTACACAGTGTTAGGCACCTTTGCTGTGAAATCAAATTCTGATTCAGAAGTCTAAATTACAATATGTTTTGAGGAAGACTGCGGTCATTTCTGCCTCAATTAGATTCAACATCGTTCAAATTGCAATTGTTTTTGTTCTTTACAAACTCATTGTTCAAATTATATCAACAAGAGGCCCATCCTAAGCCGGTTCCACATTTTGTGAATATAGGGACTTTTAGATTTGCACGTCGACATAGTGGACTGCTATGTGTGACGTCCTTTTAAAGTGCCTAAAAGGACGTCACACGTAGCAGGCCACTATGTCTACGTGCAAATCTAAAAGTCCCTAATGACTCTTGTTCGGCATCACAGCAGATTCTGGCAATAAGATTTCATATGTTTTAATTCATAACTTTTTAATATTCTGAGAAATCTAAAACCTCCATACCTTATTTGTATTTTCGTGCTGTCAAATCCGGGTGTCCGTCATAGACGTTGTACTGTCGACGAAGTGATGGGAATAGCAGCTCTGGAACATAATAATGACAATGCCTATTGCACATGTCAATTTATATTGCGTCATTTTATATTCGATAATAAAGCTAAGAAGTCAATCAATGTGTGTAACAGTAATTTAATATAGTGTCTGCATTGTTACATTTCTTCTTATATTTTATACAATGTTAATAGCTTTGTGCGTCCTTATAGACCGCATCAGTCATTGAAGCGCTTATAAATGTGTCAGCAAAAGACCACTCGTATGCAAACATGCATAAATTATTCCAAGCATCGGCCCTTCTTGTGTCTTTTCTTGTCTTATTATTTAAGGGCAAACAAGTTTTCAATTTGTGGTCGATTTATAAAAACTCTGGATCCGGACATTCTTATGCCAGCCTATTTTTTTTGTAATAAATATAACAGCTACTAAATAATTTCAAACCCGAAATTGGTCACTTTGACAGGTGTAGTCACATTTATATAACAGATTCAATCTGTAAATATATCTATTCAAATTAATTCACTTTTATCATTGTTTTTGTTTTCTGATCATATCTAAATCGATATTTTGGGGAGTGAGTATACCTTTATTGTCGTTTATCAGGTTTTTCTCAAACTTCACATTAATTTGTTTCTCTCACTTTCTGCTTTTATACAATTGAACTTTATATCACATTCGCCGTAATAGAAACTTCTGATAGTTAGGATATACAATTGTAATCTTTGTGCTCATACTTCAAGATAATATTTGACACAATTATTATATTCATTTTTTGTGATGAATAAGATAATCGAGAAAACATAATTATAGACTAAAATATTTCTTTTCAAAGACGACGGTTGAAGAAAGCTAAATAAAAAGTTTCAGCCGCGGATTAATATTGCCTTTTATACATACACGTGGAGAACGATGTATAACACTGTATTAATGGAGGCACGAATTGCTAAAAACGAATGAATGTGACAACAAATTTTTTAAAATGTGATTGTCTAGACGATCCATGAAAGATATAATTGCTGACGTGATCTTTTATTTTTTCAGTAATAATTTGATTAAATAATAAATCAAACATTTTTAGATTAATAATTATCTTCTACTGTATGAAAAGACCTTTAGAATATTGTAGGTCAACTTTGTGTTAAATGGGAAGGACAAATGTTTAGCCAAAATGGGAAACAAAGGCTTGCAAAGCAAAGAGATTGTATCGGTATAAAAGGTGAATTGCGTTCATGTATGATCTTATCTGAATGTGACACTTTTCCTTTCTTTTGTGAGAGAAAATAGAGTAATTTGATGCACTTTAAACTCTCTTTCCTATCGTCTGTTTGGAGCCAGATGGGTATTACCTCATACACTTGAAAACGGAGTTAATGGCCTTCTGGCTTCAAACATACGCTATCATACCTATAAGCCTTATTTAGCCTTTATCTGCTGGCTGACAGAGATATCACACCCCCCCCCCCTCCTCCTCTTCCTCCACCCCCTCTCTTCTTCTTCTTCTTCTTCTTCTTCTTCTTCTTCTTCTTCTTTCTTCTTCTTCTTCTCTTCTTCTTCTTCTTCTTCTTCTTCTTCTTCTTCTTCTTCTTCTTCTTCTTCTTCTTCTTCTTCTTCTTCTTCTTCTTCTTCTTCTTCTTCTTCTTCTTCTTCTTCTACTCCTTCTTCTTCTTCTTCAATCTTCTTATTCGTTATGTGGTACGCGCAACAAATGAAATGGAAATTATATGCTTGGTAATAATAATGCTTAATTATCTATTTTACCTGAAAAAGGAGCAAGATACAATATCTGATAATGATATATCAATATGACTTTTCTCTCTCTCTCCCTCTCTCTCTCTTATCTTCTACTGTATGAACAGACCTTTCTCGTTCTCTCTCTCTCTCTCTCTCTCTCTCTCCCTCTCTCCCCTCAGGAAAGTTTAATATTTTAATTGATTGTGTGATCAATACCTTGGAAGCTATAACCCAGTTTGAAGAAAACAGCGGGTGACATGTAAAAGATCACTTGGCTGTCTTATATCCGTCCGCCGGATCGCGGATATCCACTCAGATATCCGCTATATCTGCCATATGACTCTCATGTGTTTGAACTATGACGACATAACTTTTCATTCAATGTTTAATAGTTAGAATCTTATCAGCTCTGAAATACCTTTTTGCGATTCTAAATTCGGGGATCGACAGATCGGGGAATCCCTTGAATATCACATGATGAAAAGCGGGGCCGAATAAGAGAAAGGGAATGTAAAGGGATCCGGTAACTTTGTCTCAGATTCTGAAAGAAAATCCTGGATTTAGCTCATGCTGCAATGATAATTATAAACCTTTAGGTCAGTCAGGAACCCCATGACTTTTAAAAGCCGATCGCCTGTTTGATTATCAAGATACTTATGATTGGAAATCGAAACCAAAATTAGTTTGCCTAACGGTTTTCCTAACACTACAGTCTATCAAACCGGTCACTCAAAGATTTTTACTTTTTTGAGTCACTTCTTGATAAATTTTTTTTTAGGGCTTCAATATTACACCATATCAAAGACACTGATAACACGTAGGGCCGTGCATCTCAGATTTAACATTGTTAAACGATGTCTTTAAGAGAAACAAAGTAAAATTAAATCTATTTATAATGCAACATGTCATCCCTCTTAATTAGTATACTTATATTATTTTTAACAAATTAAATGACCCACTTCATCGTTAGTATTGCATAGGATGACCGTCTATTTCTTCTTGAATTGATATAGAAAAAGTAAAGAATAATAAGTTTTATTGTTATTAAAGTGAAAATACATCCCTTTTAAAACGGGCGCTAGTACAATTCAGAAATAAGTAGGTGGTGGATACGATGACCATGATACATTTTAGGAAATTAATAAAGGCACTTAAGCAAGCACAACAAAAGGAAAATTTGACAACTAAAATGTTTTTTGGTTTGGGATGGTGGCGTGCGCCCAGAATATTGTGTGTGTCAAATACACGAACCTTCATACGGGTTATGTTTAATTCAGTCGGTATTTATCACCTTATATGATAACCAGACTTCTATCATGACATTGCAATGATAATATGTGACTTCTGTTAGGAAACAGGTTGAGAACGATAACGATGTTTTGTGCAGTTCTTAAATAATTTAAGCTGGTAAGAATGCCTGAATGACCGAGTATAGAACTAAAGATAGTTTTACTTGCTTTAGTTTATACTAAGTCTTAAAGGTACTATGTCCCTTTTGCAGCCAACCTCGAATGCTGTATAACTTTGCAGAAATATGAATATGTCATGTATGTCCTATATGTGAAATTTAAACGTTAGCAGTGTCCTCATATTCAAATTATGCAAGGAAACCCGTTTACTTGCTAGACTTCACTGTCAGACACTATTGAGTGACTGACTGGCTTTTTTTTCTTCTTTGGTAATAACATACATGAAAAGAGTTGTAAAGGGTACATGGGCATTTGTCTACATCAATAACCCACTTCTTGGGATGGCCAAGATTAAACTGATTGAATCTTTGCGCGGCATAAAACGTATGACCATTCAGTACAATTGTCTGAAAATTAAGACTATTACTTTTGGGCTCTATAGCCCTAAAGTCGATTTGACAACTAATAGTCGTTATTTTCCCACTTGAAGACATTTTCAAGCCCCACCTTTTTTAGGGAATTCTAAATTAGTATTATCTTTCAAATGCAGTTGGAATTTAACTTTTTCATTTTTTTGGCCTGCAAATGGGACATAGTACCTTTAAGAGGCATTTTCAACTCGTGTTCTGATTTCTTCCCCCCCCCCCCCCATCCTCTCTCTCTCTCTCTCTCTCTCTCTCTCTTCCTCCTCTCTCTCTCTCTCTCTCTCTCTCTCCCTCTCTGTCACGTTCTCTTTCTCTCTCTCTCTCTCCCTCCCCCTTTTTTTGTTTGCATGTTCGAGTTTCGATCCCTCTACAAACATTGCTTTCATTTTATAGGCTGTAATTATTTTTCACAGGCCATTGTAAGTCCTAATCATATTTCAATGGTTTATTTATTGTTATTTTCTCTTTATTATATCAGATTCTTTGGAACAAGCTTCACGGTTTATCACCAAAAATGAATACTTCGTGCGTATCACTCGTCTTGGTCATTCTTTCGGCGATTTCGTCGGTGAACTACGGTAATTTTCTTTTATTTCTGCATTTAACTTAATCTTCAATTAAAATAGTAGATCCTATAATGAGCTCTAAAATAGTGCAAGGTTCGGAAACATCAACCGGAAACGCTACTGGAATACAAGTATCTACTCTTGATATCGATTTTATTAAACCCTTTCACTTCCTTCTTATCATTTCCTGTTAATTATTTTCAGGGGTTGATTGCTCGATTGAAGGATTTTATTGAGTACTATCCATTCTCGCAGTCCAAAGACTGAATTGCAATGGTTACAATAGTTTACAATGTATGTACATGATAAAAGCAATTATACAATGATTATTAAAACAGCATACTTTGTGCATGCGTTTACACAGAATGACTAAAATTACAATTTTTCAAAAATGAATGACTCGGGATGCTCTTTTCTCCTTAAGGAACCTATTATAATATGCTATCCATAATACATTCTGAGCAGTGCCCCAGGGAGAGGCATTTAGGAGAAAGAAACACAAATTAATGATATTTTGTCCACGCAAAATGGGACAGTTATCCTCAAATACTTCACAGTCCACTGACCAAAATCTCATTTTGATATTCGCATGCAATTAATGATCTCATATTACATTCATATCAGTCTTACTACTGGTCCGGTTTATTTAAAAAATTAGCGATTCTGTTTATCATATTTGTCTGATTTCATACAAATAAACTAAGTACCATTCTTCCTTCGATCTTTTGACAGGTTTCCCCCACAGTACGCTGCCATCAAGTACTGTAGCTGACGTCATAGAAGTGTCGACCAATCAAGATGCATCTGTGGGTCTTGTGCGTACTTCAGCCACTCCTAGCGAAGAAAGACACACAATGAACACCACGCCCCTTCCTAATCCCTCCACATCAGACCACGGTGATGATGACGATGACGATGCTACATCAGTCTCAGGGCTTCTCGATAGCGACGTTAACGACCACGCCCCTACACACGATGTGAACGGTGCCGATGAAGTTGGAAGAGCTGTTGCGGATCTTTCTCAGGGCGCCGTTAATCAAGGTGATACCCACAACAACGATAATACATCTACTGCTCAGAATGGTAAGACCTTGTTTACATGTATGTGACTCAGTTTAACCCTATAGTACGTAATTGATTCCAAGTAATTAGAAGCAAGGTCTATCTATATACATTCACACAACTATCGCTTTTTAGAAGAAAAAAATATTCCAACTTTATGGGCAAGTACACGTGTACCTCTTCCTTTTCTCATCTCTGTCATCCCCCCTCTCTCTCTCTCTCTCTCTCTTTCTCTCTCTCTCTCTCTCTCTTTTATAGTTCTCTCCCTCTCCATGTGTCTCTCTACATCTCTCTAACGCACAAACGCACACACGCACACCCACACACACACTCACAATTTCTCTCTTTTCTTTCGGCTCATCTTTTCTTAACTTTTAATTTCTTCATCCTCTACCATGTTCCTACTCCTAGGCTTTCCATGGTGGTCACTTATGCTCATTCTCTTGGCTACGGTTGTCATCATCATCGCCATCGCCTTCCCGTTCGTTCTCTACAACCGCCGGCTCAACAAACGACAAGCCGTCATCAAGAACAATAAACGAGCGTCGGAACTCATCGTGGATTCATGGGTAGCGGCCTCGCAATCTTCCATCCCTCCCGTGTCACCATCGACATCGTCTGACAGCGGTCACGAGGACGATGTCGAAACGACTTGCAAACAGGGCAAAACGACACCGCAGTCGGATTGGGGCACGTTCACTATGGAAGATGGTAACAGCCATGACATCATCCTCGGGGCAGAGGGAGGGTGCTGAAATGTACATGTAATTTGACAGAAAATTTATCTCAATTATAAAGCATTGTTGTAATTTCACAAACCACTTTAAAACGTTTCCGGAAGTAGGCTTATACAATGTTTAATATGATATCAAGTAGAAGATGGTGGCTTGACGGCTGTGTGGGCTGACTTCCCGTAAATGGAATTCTGTTTTTTGTTGTAGACAGCTAGGTACGGTAGATCCTACATCCTGGCTGTCCCCTAGGAAATTGAGATCACAGGGGCTATATGATCCTTATTAAAGTCACAATGATTCGCCATTTGTAATATTTTCTATGTATAAAATTATTATTCTCCACTTTATCATCGAATGACTAGGGCTGGTAGTTTACTCCTTTTGTAAATATATCGCTCAGTTCCAATACTCAAAATAGTGCAATATCAAAGTTTACAATAGGAGTATATGATTGACAATACTGTAAAACATTACAATCAATCATAATATATAAGCCACAAAAAGCATGACGATGCTTGAACAAATATGTATTGATTACGCCTATTAAATAATGTCTTCATATATTAACTAAATTAGTTATAAAACAAAAAGGGTTTAGTATTTCGAGGGAGAGATTATATTTTGTGTACGAATTGTATGATATAATTGATCATAATAGAGGTACTATAATGACTCATTTTAAAAGTACAGAAAATGTCTGAAAGCGGTTTAAAAACTATGAGATGGTAATGGATAATTTTATTCTCATCGCTACTATTTTGATAATCGCGCCAACCTGGTAACTTTATAAGGATGTAGGTTATAGAATGTTTTACACTCTTTCCTGAGCGTAGGATGCGGGATTTCCTATGAATGTTTTTAATAGAGATCAGATGTAATCAGTTGTTTAATGTGTATGAATTAGTCTGTCAAACAGACACCAACTCAATGTATTCTATTCTATTTCATTTTATCAATTTATTCCACGCTAAACTTCATCATGTCGAGATATCATTACACAAGATTAACCAATCGTGTTGGTCAAAGCCCTATTTTAAGAGTTATTGCATACATGTGCATATTAAACTAAAGGTTTTATATAGTGTGATGCATTAAAGCACTTAACATTTTCACAAGATCATGATGATCATTAAATTGTTGTGAATTGTTTATTTATTTGGTTCAGAATGTAAGTAAATAATCCTGACATTTTACGGTGGACAATCTTAGCTTATTTTCAACAAGAATGATAAGAATTCTCATCGTTAAATGCCGGGTACGAATGGTTAACATATAATGGGCAAAACGCTGTTGAGAGTTATCGAAAACATAATACCGCTTATGATGCTAATGTTGAGTTGGTAAAAGTCTGCTACTAGTAATTGGAAGCTAACAATGTTCAAAGGATTAAGCTATGTTCTGTGGAATTTGATATCGAACTTACGGTTGTTTATTAGAAACCTACATGTATAATTTAAACAAGTGTAATGGCAAAATAATTAATGTCCTATATTACGTGGAAATTTAATATGATTATGAGTATGTTATGAAATGTATATTGTATTCGCAAAATAATGTATTATATTGTTGATGATCATGTAAATATAGTGCTGTTTTACAGTATAGATCAAATCGAAAGTGTGAAAATACTTTTATAAAATCACTGTTACATGTTGTATCAGTAATTATGCTTGTCAAACTCTGCAATTTGAGTAAAATTTTACAAAATACGAGGTCGATCCAATTTTTCAGGGATTCACCAATACACAAGTTTTGCAGTCGTAATCAGACACCAACAATGTTTGTACCTTCAAATCATAATTATGTATACATCGTTATCCGAGTCTATAATTTATGTTGATATTGAAGTTGCTCATATTTTCGTGATTGTATGATAGTGAAATCTGATTTTAAAATATATGACCATTCTCTTGAATAATATATATAATTTGCCTCAAATACCCATAGTGATCCATAAAAAGGCAATTATAGCCAAATACGTAGGGTTTCTTTTGCAATTGATGATTGTTTGTAAACAACATTAAGAAGTGGTTGATATATCTTTTATCATGACTGCAACTAGTGAAGTAAGCAACTATCACCCTCTATCGCTTATAATTGAGCCTAATATTTGCCCCTATACACTGGCGGCTCAGAGTTGTCATGATAAGTATATTATCGAATAACAATTTTCCTATTATACACCCTTTAATTTCAAAATTATAAAATCTAGAAAATCGTGTACGAATATATACATACTGCATAGGCTATATCTTGCCTGATAAATCCTTGGAGTCGAAATTCCTATTTGATACTTGAATGGTGTATCGGATCGTTAAGTGACATCCCGCTGATCCTAGACAGTATTGGTCCTGCTCATGCATCTTACTATATGTTAGGGTTAGGGTAAGGGTTAGGTTAAAGGGTAAGGATATAGTTATCCTGATCCCTATCCCTAACAGCGAATGATAAATCGGTCAAATATTTTTTTAATTTTCTTTAAATGAAACTAATAATATGCAAGTCTGTGCAATTTGACAATAAAAAGGAGCAACAAATTACTGATGAAACATTTCGTTTCAATGAAGTGATTTCAAATGAACGTAGTCTGTCAATGGTGTAGAAAAAATGAGATAAAAAACGTTGAAAAGCGCCACTATAATCATAATATTATGATATATGACAAAGATATAATGAAATACCTTACAATGCAATCTATTTATCTTAATATTTATAGAATTCTATTTATTTGTCCTTTGCCTACCCTCTTATCACTATCATTTGGAAGGAATGAAGAATACATGTTGTATGCTGTCAGAAAAAAATTATGAGAAAACATGCTTTGTAAATGTATAAAATTGAAATTGAAATCTGTATGGTTTTATCGTCAGTGACAAAAAATAAAATTATCTTTGACTAAAACGTAATGAATATTGTCAGTAATATTGTAGCATTACACGATTGGAATTGCCGTTTTCAAAAACTGATAGAATTCCTCTATAAACTTGTAATTTTTTCTTCTTCTCCTTAGTGCACTCTCTTCCCTTCCTCCTCTCTTCCCCCCACCCCTCCCTCTCTCTCTCTCTTTCCCTCTCTTCTATTTTCCCCTTTCTGTTAAACTTCTGTTTCTTTTACTTTTTTTCTTCTCTATAAATAACTTCTCTTCCTTTTTTTTTCTCTCTCTCTCTCTCTCTCTCTCTCTCTCTCTCCTTTTCTCTCTCTCTCTCTCTCTCTCTATGTATAGTTCCTCTATCTATATCTCTTTCTATCTATTTGTATATCTATCTCCTAAGAGAGCCCCACCCCCTTCCCTACTATTACTAAGAGCTACATTCAAGCATTCGATACTAATGAGGCCCTAAACAAGTCTCAGAAATATGAACAATACAGACTCAATCTTCAAACAAACTTTTATTTAAAAATTCACTTTAAATTGATCATCATGCATATAATTCATTTACGCTGAACAAATCTTATGCAGTCATTTGTCAATAATCTTGATAAAATCTGAGCCAAAATAAAGGAACCCGTTCGATTTTTACAACGTTCGATTTTTACAACGTTCGATTTTTACAACGTTAGCTTGTCATGAATATGAAAGAAAAACAACAGTCAACACATATCGATGAACATCATTATACTCTATTCACAGACAGAAACCGGGTTATCGATTTTGCATCAGAAAATCCCCCAGACTTCATTGTCTTTCACTACCAATTAACAAAACACTAATTAGAACGTCTTTCAAAAGAACTCAGTAGGTACATGAAGAATATTAAGGGGAGAGTGATTTTAATGTGTGTTAAGTCGGGTTTCATGGAATTATCGACACATTCAAAATCATTGCAAACGACAGAAGAAAAAAGAAACCCATGTGATTACATAGCAATTCTTAATGAATTCAGTTTTCTCCACAAAGTTGCAATGCATTTCCAAATCACTGTTTATATTGATGCGATCACAAAGACTTTCGAGGAATCAGAGTACGGTAGTTACAGAGTACTCGTGTTCATTACCTGTTCAAATGTGCAAACATTACACTGACTTATAACATAATCCAAACAGTATTCTATGGAATATAAAATCAAAAAGTATTGAAATTGCCCTTTAGCTGATTTATCAAAAGTCTACAATGATGTTTATCGTTTTTTTGTTGCTTTTTCTGCTTTCATTGTTTGGAGTTTAAAATGATTGCATTCAGGCTGTGCAGGGAAACCGAGATTAAATCATGCAGAATCATGAAATACGATCTCCCAATAGCCTTTACACACAAAAGTGGTAATCAGAATACAGACCATAGAGACTTAATTATAATAACAATTTATGCGGTAGGATTCATTCTTTTGAACTACACATTTCTAACAAACACTTCACACACATTTTTCCAAGCATATTTTCCATTTAGATACATTTTTTTTAAAGCACGTATACAGCGAAAGCCACATGCAGTCATGCAACAGCAGCTCATAAAACAATGAAGCCAACTTACAGTCCAACATGAAATCCGAAGGATCTATCAGCATACAGCCAGTGTAGAGTTTGGGTAGATCTAAGCCAAAAACACACATTTTCTTAGTTCTATGAGTTCACTTCATCATTAAAAAACAATCTCCAAATTTGGTTTTAATCTTTATGGGAAATTGAGCAAATACGGGATTTAAATAATCATGTCTTTTGTCATGATTTCAAATATCCTTATTTTCAATTGGTGTATACACTTGTTTGTTTTGTTTGATTGATTTTATTTCTGCGTTCAAAAAGATACAAATTCAAATTCAAAGTACACAAATTTGAATAATAACAAATACAATGAATAAAATGTTTACATAAGTAATTAAATAGAAAAAATCATGTACAATTATATCATACGATAAACATGTACGAAGCATACAAATATGATAAGAAATATATAGTAAATATTTTTCAATAAATTAGAGAGGGAATTTAGAATGCAGGAGACCACCAGCATGAGCGATTAGGCTGGAGATGGATGGCGGCCTCATAAAAAAAAAAGAATTGGCGACATAACTCTCTTGGGGTAAACTGAGTGATCAAGTGGGTGCAGTGCAAGTGCAGGTGCAATAAGCAGTTGCATGATAAAGAATAAAATAACTTAAAGATGAAGTTGAGTTCTGGTCATGCGATTGCATTGTGATAGAAACGGTGTGGAATCGACCAGAAAAGGTTGATCATCTAGCATAAAAGAATTTGTGTGTATTGCAAGGTTCTGGAATCATCAAAATGATAAGAAATTTGGCCAAGTCTTGGTAAAGTTACAAACACTGTACACAGAAAGATGTATATGGGACTACACGAACATGAGGCGTAAAAAACCTACCCCCCCCCCCCCAAGTTTTTTCGATGTTACACGACATATTTAGAATATGAAGGCATTTGAAGAGCCATGCTTTTCAGGGAACATGTCTGATGTTCTTCCACACTTGCATAATAAGAGTGATAAAGTTTACAAATTATTTTTCACCTCTTCCCAGAACTCAACCTTCTCTTTGAGTCACGGTTTTATTATACTACTTTAAAGAGTCTTTACGAAGCTCAGCTTTGGGTTGTTATTTTTACAATTGTCTTTTATCCCAAAAATTCAATCTTTTATTGAAAGCACGTATACAGCGAAAGCCACATGCAATCATGCAACAGCAGCTCATAGAACAATCAGGCCAAATTACAGTCCAACATGAAATGAGAAAAATCTAGCAGATAAATGTAAACCCAAAACACAATTTATGAGTTCAGTTCATCATTACAAAAAAAATCTCCAAATTTAGTTTTTTGGGGTGGGAAATTGAGCAAATACGGGATTTAAATAATTACGTCTCTGGCCATGATTTCAAATAACAGTATTTTTTGTGTTTGTATACACTATCACATGCTTTAACAGTCTCTATGGAGCTCAGCTTTGTTTTGTTTTTTTGTTTTTTTGTTTTTTCAATTGTCCTTATTCCCAAGAAACATACGACTGCATTGTTTCCATATCAATCATCACTATTTTGATTTGCCTATTGCCTACTGCATTTCATTGATTGCTGGGAAAGGAATATCACATTCATTTTTAAAACTGAAGTTAAGAGAAAAATTACATAGCAGACGATGTATTTAGAAGCACTAAATATCTTTAAAAATGGAATTAGTACGATAACAAAGGTATATGTACTGTGGCATTAGTCCATTAGTACATGAATATAAAGTTCATATGTAGCAGCAATTTTAGTAAACTGAAGTATGTACAAGTTGGCACTTAAAGCATTGCAGAGAGGGCAGCATGCGAATGAGGCAATCAGAGCATTTTTTTATTCAAATAATGATAATAATAATAATAATAATAATAATAATAATAATAATAATAATAATATTGGATCCTTATATAGCGCACGTATCGACCTTGCAAGGTCCTCAAGGCGCTCCAGCATTACCCTGCTATGCTAGGCTGCCGGTTTCGACGCTCACAGCATTTAAGGAATTCCTCCCTACCGGTATCATGTATCTGCATTAAATCTAGGGATAACCAGTTTTACTGGAACATAAACATTGCGAAACATCAAAACATGGAATTACGGATGGTTTGGTTTCATTGTCAATTCCTACAACCAACTGTATAATAAGATACCAATTCAAACTTGGACAAAAATCACCTCCAAACAAGTGAAGAACACACTATAAAAGAGCTACCTATCGATCTTATCTTGTCTTGTCTTCTTTGAGGAAAAACAAATTATTTGGTACAAATGAACAAAAACAAAGTCATGCACTTTGAGCATAGCTGATGAAAAACATAAAAAATACATCACTGTGACATACACACAGACAGACAAAATACAAACATTGCACCATCCTAACCTCCAAGATTATTATGATTACACCCCCCCCCCCCCCCCCCAACAAAAAAGAAGAAAATAAATTAAACAAAGAATTGGACGGTTTATACAACAATTTAAATAAGAAGCTTTAGAAAAAGGGGATACTGCTCAACACGTTAACATAATACTGTAAGCGATGATACAAGAATCAAGATGAGCTAATTAACTTGAATGATTTAGGCATTTTACCATCAGGGAACTATAAAACTACAGCTAGATACAAAAGTAAAAACAGACTAACACTAGGTGACGAGGAAAGATTCAGCAGCACGTGGCAGATCCAGGTTGTTACCCTGAAAGTCACCTTAACTCACATGCAACAATGGACAAAAAAGATACAACCCCTAATTTGAATTTCGAAAATCATTTTCACAAGAAAAAAATTCTTAAAGTTAAAATTTGTCGTGAAATAAATACTGGTAATGTCTTTATATTCATTTATATTGATATCAAGTGTTATTCATTTAATGTAAATGAATATGACTATAAAAACATTACCAGTAAATACTTCTGATCAAATTTTACCTTACAAAGTAATTAATTGCAAATTCTGTTCCACAAAAAGCAAATGTAACCCCTTTCCATCATGTACAGAAGAAACCCTGAACCTCATTGGTCAATGCACCCCTCTTATCAAATTATCAGAAGAAACCCTGAACCTCATTGGTCAATGAACCCCTCTTATCAAATCATCAGAAGAAAGCTCAAGTCTGATTGGCTCTCTTCTTTTAGTTTGTTAATGAAATGCACCAACATTGTTCTTGATTGGCAAATGGCAACTTTTTATCAAGTACATGTAAATGCAGAAATCTTGATAGTGATCGGCTTGTACGAACAACAACAACAACAAAAATGATCATGATAAGTTTTCCATTAAAACTTCTTGAAGAGATTAATTAAAGAGACACTGTTCCTGGTTTGCTTTAAGTGTCCCTTTAAACGAGTTACAACAGAAACCTTCGGTGTGGCTGGCTATTCAACTCTCTCACCATGCGAAACTACCTCTTACCAAGTACAGTCCCTTTTTAAAAAGTAAATGCAGCAACCTTGATCATGAACACATGTTAAAAAGTGACTGCAGAAAGCTCGTTTCTGATTGGCTATAGGTCTGCAGTTGATTGCCACATAGCCCTTGGCACCTGAGTATTGACCAATCACAGACGTTGTCTCAGCTCATTTGACATGGTTTTTTTGTCTAGGACGCGAGGTGATAGAGAAGGCATAGATGTTGAAGTGATCACTTAGCTGATTAACCTAAGAATAGATAAAGGGGAAAATGATAAAACGATATACGGTTACAAACGAGTCTTTATCCTACTCCAAAGCCATTCTGGCATAATGTGTCACATAAAAATAAACAGTGTCGTTTTGTCCATCTTTGCAGAATCAGAAATGATGATGCAGAAAAAACCTCAGTGGTTTTTTATCAATGATGACATGAAGTGTAATACACTTCACATTAGTAAAAACATGTGAAATTATTATAGGTAGGAAAACTCTGTTAGAGGGATGTACTCCAATGGAAGAAGAAGAAGGCTATTTTAATATTTTGTTAGAGAAAATAGAAATAAATAAATTTATAAGTAACAGAGCGAATGGGAAAGGACCTAGACAGATACATTATTAATATATTTAGCATACATTATATAGTTGCCAATTCGAAAATATATCACTTTCTTATTTTAATAAGATTTTGTTCAAACTTTCACTTCTCTTTTTCTCTGATTTTTTAAAACCTATTGAAGGATATTGAAACCAACTTGATATCAGGGCGGACTTCCCCTGTAAGGATCAGGGGGGTGTTTCACAAAGATCTTAAGTTGAGCTTATCTCTAAGTTGGACTGAACAGTTATGGAAAGCCGTTAGCATCTATGAAAATATTTTGTAAAAGTTATTTTAAAAGGCATAAAGGTTTAATTCAAATCATTCATATTTTCTATATCAAGGAGATTTCATGTTCTTGATGTAGAATTTATAAAAAGTCTAAAATACTTCAATTTTCGCTTTTTAATATATATTATTTTTAGACTACAAATGGCTCTCCATAATTTTGAAGTCCAACTTAGGGTTAAGTTCAACTTAAGAACTTTGTGAAACACCCCCTGGATTATATATACTCACCACTGTCACCAGGTAATGGAAATGCAGGAGTAGTATGATAGCAAACAGACCATGAAGAATGAGAACCTCGTGCTCTGCTATACCTAATACACACACTGCAACGGCTGCCCCTCCAAACAGCATCAAGAGAAAGTTGTTTAGACACGCTAAGGTATCAGACATCTGACTTATAATCAATCGCACCTAGAAAAGATAATAAACAGAAGATTGTAAATTGATTTATATGTTTATAAACAGAATATTGAGGTTCATCAAAAGATAACCAGCATCAATAGAAAGTTGTGTGCACACGCTAACATATCAGACATCTGACTTATAATCAATCGCACCTAGATAAGATAATATACAGAAGATTACATGATACATGTTTGCAAACACAATAAAAAGACCACTGAAAAAATATAAATTTAGGTAGGTTAGCTGAATGTACAGACACGAAGCATTTTACCGATAGGAATGTATTCGGCCAATCAACGTTCATCATGACTGTGCCATGGACCAGTTCTGGCCTGGTGGTAGAGTCGCTGCCCTGCAAGCAGTAGATGGCAGGTTCAAATCCCCCTGGTTCCATCATTTTTTTCTGACTTGTTTTAAATTACAATCGAGCACATGATCTTTATTTACTGGGTGCAAGCCAAAAATCTATTTACAAAAATTGAAACTTCTCCCAGAAAGCCTAACTTTTATCCCTGACAACTGTCACATTTATGACAAATGTGCCAACAGCCAATCAAATACATTGATTTCAGAAGCTTGTAACACTGGTTTGACTAACTCGTTACTGATAACAAGTTTTAGGAAACGGGGCCCTGGATAATTTTAACTGGGGCTCCCGGCCAAAATCTAACTAGTTCATCATTGCATGATCAAACATAGTCCTTCCAAGTTTTGTTAAAATCAGTTTAATGGCTCTCAAATTATTGCAGTAATGACAAGTGAGACAACTATATTCTCAGTTTGCTATACTCTTGTTATGAAATAAATATTTTGTTCCGATACATGTATCACATGTCTACTCTATTGCTCCAAAGCTTATACTTTTAGTACACTTTTGAAAGTGGTTACTTGAGAAATTATAATTTTGTGTAAGGGGTGTACTCAATTTTGTTTGATATTGTAGTCCATATGAGAATAGCTATCCCAGCTACAATAAGCTGCAAGCAGACAACATGCCTCGACTATCAGACCTGAATCCTTGATTCAATATTTGTTCATAAAGGACCTAGCATACATGTATCTCTTCCAGTGGGTCAAGTAGGTATAATCTTAGAGTAAGACCTACTTACATAGGACGTTCACACCTACAGACAAAGGTGAAATTTAAAATAGCAATCCAATTGGCAGTAAGTCTTGCAATTTTTTAGAATAATCGTGATAGTTGCCGGGCGCTGTTTATGTGAATGATATTGAGAATAAAAAATCAATTTATTGAATCCCAGGATCCCAAGCGCGCATATATGTACATCGTTGAGATTCAGGCATGCGCAGTTCGGACGTTCTTGCCGTCGAACAAGAACTCTCCGTGTGTGAATGGTCACCAAAAAAAAAAATCTTTGCATCGCGATCCTATTTGCACTAAATTGACATGTGTAAACGTTCGCAAAAAAAATTAATCTGACTTTGCATCACAATCCAAATTGCACTAATTGTGCTGTGTGAACATGCCGTATGTTACTATGATCCAGCATATCTACTCAAGTAGGTATAATCTTACTGTAAAACCTACTTACAGGGGATACTATGACCCCCTTCATACTTTGATTGACAGGTCCTATTATTAATACATGTAGCATGTCTCACAATATCTCTACAACATATCTCTACTTCTTCTTTATTTGTGCATACAAAGAAATTCTCCCTTATTCATTCAAATTTTTCTAAATGCAATAGACATTTATGGATGCTTCTTTCCTGGGGACCTAGTGACAAGTTATTCAATTAACCTGTTATACTTATTAACAATTGAATTACAATACTTGGAATCTAGTAAAACTGAAAGTGAATTGAATTGAATAGAAGTGCATCAAGATCGTTTTGTAAATCTACAATGTACTCACGACATCACTATCACATAACACAATTCAGGTCATTTACCTGACTTTGGTTTTTCAGAAGCTTTCACAAATTTTGAGAAAGGTTAAAGTTTAACCCGAAAAAATACATGCAGCAAAATACATGATCAGAACACACTTAATTATAATCGCATCCCCCCTAAAAAAGAGTTGCTCAACTCTAAAACAGACATCATTTACAATTCAAGCACCAAGTGTGATGTATATTGTTTCTGATACATGAATTGTGGTGGTGTTTATTTTACCTGACTGCTAAGAAAGCATAAATGCTTGTTAGTAAGCAACCAGACGGCCGACGGCTTTAGGTCCTCTCCGAGGGACCTGGTGATGAGGATTAATGCCTTACCAAAGGGCACTGGTGCATTGACTTGGTTTCGAACCCGGGTCACCAGATTACGAGACCACTGCTCTACCGACTGATCTATCGCGCCTCCTCTATAGGTTCATATCAGTGAAAAGTCTTGACTTACCGTTATATTTGAGAAGACAGTGGAGACAGCGAGTAGGTATATCCTGGTATGATACTCTAAGACATCAGTCGGTGAGAAGAGACCCCAGAAGGTTGAGATCCCAAAGAGAGCTAGCATGGAGATGAGAGGTGTCGCGGCTTCACTCAATGAACGCCTCTTCCCAGATCCAGTTTGGAATGACCTACATGTAAGAAATAATAATTATGATAATAATAATAATAATAATAATTGGATTTATATAGCACCTTTTTCCAAAGGATACAATTGTTGTTGTTGTTGTTCTTGGGTTTTAAGGCTGACCAGTCTAAAAAGATTATTTCTGCCTGGCTGTGCTGTTTTTTTTTAGTTGTTCATCACTGATGATTAGATGGCGCTGTTTCTTTTCCTCTTCAGTGGGTATCATGTATCACGTTTATTCGATGGTGCGGGCAATACTTTAGGTGTCGACCATGAACAGGGTGCGAGTATTTTTTTTATTAATAATAGGGGTTAACTGTGCAGGGGTTAACAAGGCACTGCTCTCTTAGACTATCAACAATTATAGAGGAGTTGTACAGGTTTTTTTATAAGAGTGTGGAAATAGAATTAGTACATATTATGTAGATTGTAATAATAATGGCTTCTTGTAAAGCACTCCTTATTCACTATTCAAGATAATTCTTAACAAGAAACCCTACTATTAGTGTTGTTAGCTACTAGTGCTCATATAATTCAAGGAATTCCTTCCTAATAGCAAAGGGGGTGCGAGGCACATTTGACATTCCCTTTGATCATTCAAAAAAGATCCACAACATTTTAATTTGGTAAAAATGAAGAAGGGGGGACTGGACAGGGGACAGGATATCATTTTGTTTTAATACTGTGATGTGTAGTGAATGTATTAACATTTTGGCTCAGCTGGGTGCCCCATGGATCTGCCATTGACTGGGCTTTTATCATTAATAATGGTCTGTTTTTTATGAAACTTTCAGATAATCTTTAATTGTACATCTGACATTGTATTCACTACCTCAGCACTATTTTTTCCATCTGAACAATGTTACCAAGATTATTCAGATATTATGCAGCAGAAGTTTATTAACATTAAGCATGACAATTTCTATAAATACATTAATTCTAAATAAAATTGATTTTCAAATTACCTGACTATATTGTAGATGCTTTGTGGTAATGAAAATACTACTGCACCAGCTGAGGAAATAGAAAAAACATACAAAAATCAAACAACTGTGAAAACTGACAATAATATAGGGTTCAACAATACAGTACACATATATACCTAGACTACACTCAGGATACCAATAAGGCCTTTAAAAAAAAGATGTTGTATTGCTTTATGCGACCGACCCAAAAATCTTGAAATCTATGGTTGGTTTTAACAAAAGAATTACTGTTTTTTTTAGAGAAAAAAAAATATTAAAGCATTCTAAACCGAGAAATATCAGTCCTAAGAGGGAGAAAAAAAGAAAAAAGATTTCTGACTGACCGACCCATGTTTTGGCACCTAAAGGGCAATACAATATCTTTTTTTTATAGGCCTAATAGTAAAACCAAAATGTAAACATGGGCCTGATGCACTTTAGTTTAATTCCCAATGCTTTTATCCATACCTCCAGCGAAACGTGTTAGTGAAGACTCTTCATTTATATAACAACTGACACTAATGCTTAAATACTGGAGTATGTATAACTCATAAATACTCCAGAGAATAATTATTACCCACATGTTACTGCAATGTAAGCCATCAAATACTTATCCTTTTTTTTAATATTTAAAAGTAAGATTTATTTAAAAGGGCGAAAACTCATTACAGGGCATATAATATTCCATTCTGTGGCCCGCACAAAAAATGATTGATCTTTGAAAATGATCGTTCATAACAGAAAAGATGGGAATGGTAAGCAAATACAGGTAGAGCATACCTGTATATCATTCTCCATTCAAAGTGTTCTACCTAGTATACAGTGTATAATGCATGTGGTAAAATATCAAAAATTTCTGATTTAAATTCCAGAAAATATAAGCCTATGTTATAACCAAATCATAGACATTTTTTGTATCCAACTCAAAAGAAGCATTGATCAAATGCCAGCAATAATAATGCAAAAAGGACAAATGAAATACTTCTAAGCAAAGATAACCAAGCATGGTCATTTGAAGCAGTCATTTAAAGGTACTATGTCCCTTTTGCAGCCAACCTCAAATTCTGTAGAACTTTGCAGGAATTATGAATATGTCATGTATGTCCTATCTGTGAAATTTAAACGTTAGCAGTGTCCTCATATTCAAATTATGCAAGGAAACCTGTTTACTTGCTAGACTTCACTGTCAGACACTATTGAGTGACTGACTGGCTTTTTTTCTTCTTTGGTAATAACATACATGAAAAGAGTTGTAAAGGGTCCATGAGCATTTGTCTAAATCAATAACCCACTTCTTGTGATGGCCAAGATTAAACTGATTGAATGTTTGCGCAGCATAAAACGTATGACCATTCGGTACAATTGCCTGAAAATCAAGACTATTACTTTTGGGCTCTATAGCCCTAAAGTCGATTTGACAACTAATAGTCATTATTTTCCCACTTGAAGACATTTTCAAGCCCCACCTTTTTTAGGGAAGTTCTAAATTTATAAGTATTATCTTTCAAATGCAGTTGGAATTTAACTTTTTCATTTTTTTGGCCTGCAAATGGGACATTTAAGTACCTTTAAGCTTTTATAGAGCACTTTCACATCCCTGCTCACCACCAATAATTCCTTTCTTAGCCATCTGCAATCTTTTATGAAATAAGCCACAAATATCTAGATTTCATTCATTCTGGTTTCATTCATCATGTAACATTTTCCCTAAGAATGATATACATATACATGTACAATGTACATGCATATAACCTTGTCCATCCTTTTTATCCTACAATCATGCAAAAAATATAAATGAATATGGTCTGCATCACTCACTGAGAAAGAAATCAAAATAATCAGTTTCCCTTTTCCAATTTTTTGCTCAGTTGACCAAGTTGCCCCTATTTTTCCTTTTTCACATTATATACTCTTATCCAGGTTATTCCTATTTTATGTGTGTGGAGTCAATTAGCCATTGTACCAATGGGTGAATTTGGCATCCCAAGTAATTGTCTACATTCAATATTGCACATGCCTACTTGCAACCAATATAAAGAAATTAACCCATTCACGATGGGAATCAGGTGGTTCATGTAAGCTTATGGGAATGAATGAATTTGGTAATCAATTGGTTTAAAGGGTGACTAAATTACAAATTCATGTTGATTTTTGTTGGTTCTGCAAAGATGTATACATCACATATCTTTTGACTTTTTGATGTACATTTATGTCATATATTTTATTTTTATTTGTTTCTATTACTTTTGTTAAGCTAAGCTCCATCCCTAACAAAACAATCTCTAAAAGCAAATGACTTTTGTGACATCATCATGCCAGTCATTCATCAGTCAGCTAATGTAGAGTATGCCTATAGATACATTTAAACAAACAAACTTGGTGAATACCTGTCTAAAATAAAGTGCCTAGATTTTGACTTAAAAACATTTAACAAAACTGCTTGTTTAATATCTGAAGAAAGAGAGTTCCAGATTTGGGGTCCTTGAAATAATATTGAGTTTTTAAAAGATGAGAGCCTCGGTTTGGGTAAATGAAAATCATTAGCATTTCTTGTATTGTATCCATGATATTCATTATTGAACTGAAAGAATGTTTTAATATAGTCTGGCAATAGGTGATTGTTACATAAGTACATAAATATAAGTACCTGAAATACATACATATCATGAAATTTCAAAACTCCTGATTCAATAAATAGAGGGTTGGTATGGGCAAGGTAAGGTGCATGAGACATATTTCGTATTGCACGTTTTTGTAAAATAAACAATCTATCAATGTGCTTATTACTTGCATTACCCCAGACAAGAATACCATAATTAAGGTACGGATATATATGAGCAAATAAATTGAAATTGAAAATTGAAAATAGATGAACATTGATGTAACCCTTCCATCAACTGACCACCTGTTCACAAAAGCATTGTATGTTTTTTATACAATGCCCACTCACAAAATTCCATTCAGTTTCCACAGTTGCAACAGAAATCCCCAAGCAACACCATGAAAAGAAGGGTTTCAAATGGGCTAATATGTGAAAACATGCAATGCTAATGCAATAAGGTACTCAGTGGGTTAGGACATACCACTCAGTGAAAAAATACATGGGGGCTCTGGGCGAATTAGCCCCCAAAATGCCCAAAATGCCCAAAAGAGCCCCCGAAAGTCATAAAAGAGCCCCAAAATTTGCATAGAGTGCAATGCAAAACAAATTAAAGAGTGTTATATTCATGCAAGCAAGGCTGAAAGGAAGCCCCCCCCCCCCCCCACCAAAAAAAAAAAAAAAAAAAAAAAATAATAATAATAATAATAATATTAATAATAAATAAATAAATAAATTTTTAAAAAATAAGTATTTTTTCCCCTGATACCACTTCTTTTGTTCATGTTTACACTGTATCTAGTAAGGTACAGCTGTATTGCCTCAACACTAATTTACAATGAGATGGGAAAATTCTTTTAGCTAGGCCAGGAGCCAGGAAACCGGGGAAAAAAGAACTGACAACAGCTTACCACATGTTAAGATTGAAAAGAAACAGAAGAATGTGTTTCTTTCTGTTTCTAAAGGGGAAAGAATAGGAACACATTGTAAATGCAGTCAAATGTTTAAAGGTAAAGACCAGTATTGGAAACGCCCCAATTTCAAAAAATGAAATAGAAGCTCTTATTACCAATCATGTGAAAGAATATGTTTTGAATAATACATGATGATAAAAATGTTGACGGGAAACCGCCTACTAATTGATATATTTGGTAAATTAGTATACCTCTTGCCTGTTGAGAGATACAAATGCACGTGTCGCGCACGTGTGTGTAGTCCCATATACATCTTTCTGTGTACAGTGATTCTAACTTCATGAAGACTTGGCCAAATTTCTTATCATTTTGATGATTCCAGAACCTTGCAGTACATCTATTGCTAGATGATCAACCTTTTCTGATCGATTTCACAATGTTTCTTTCACAATGCAATTGCATGACCATAACTGGTCTTTACCTTTAAGTTTAGAGGAAAATAAATGCCTTCAAATTGAAAATTTCCAAGAAATAGAAATACACTGTATCTGTGTATAAAAGTGAAAATCTAGAAGATGCTACAAAAGTAACGAGATTAGTTCCTTAATGTGTTCAGTATGTTGTATCTTATAAATAAAATCAAACTAAATCCAAATTAGTATGATTTCACTCTCCTACTTGTAGCTACTTGCTCCCTCTACATTATAGAAAACCTCCCCAATTGGTGCCTGTTGGTCCCCCATGATCCTTATTTTTGGTGGTTTACCGCATTGTGTGCAAAGAGAAACATGATGTGCTTCACATAGGGATCCCTGAGGCACACAGTAAATAGCTCTTCCTTTTACTATTCATTGACAACAGCTTTGCTGCAGTTGGTATTTTTGGTGGTTTACCGCATTGTGTGTAAAGAGGGCTTTAGGTTAGTCTCTTTGATTGATCAGAAATAGTGCTGTAGTCAAACGTTTAACTGTCCGGTATCCGACCGCCCATGGCGGATTCCGTTTTCAATTGGACGGTTTTGTTTTCCTGTTTTTTTTTTTTGTTTTTTTTTTTAAGTTTCGATTTATGCCCCTCCACCTGGCACTATGCCTGGCAATGTCTCCCAGCTCAGTAATCGGTGTGATGACTTACCACTTGGAAACTAGAACAACACTCCAATTTGTCTGTCATCTTGGTTTGAAAGTAATCTTTGTAATAGATCTCAATATATATTCATCCAAGTTTAACACATGGTGTACCACAAGGTTCTATCCTAGGTCCTCTACTGTTTTTAATTTACATTAATGATCTTACACATTATTCTAAAACGACATTGTTACTATTATTTGTGACTAGTTCACAAGCACAAATCGGCGCCTTCAGTTAAATAACCTTGCAGTCCTTCCCGCTTTTTCACACGGCCAACAAAAACAACAACCAAAAAAAAACCAAATTTTTTTTTTAATTTTTTTTTTATATAAATCGTTTAACCCGAAAACCGTCCGGTTTTGACTGGCGGTTAAACGGAATTGGAGATATTCGTGATGTTACAGCACTAATCAGAAATGACATACTTACCACATACTAGCCCAAGAAAGAAGTAGTTGAACTGAATTCCATAAGGAAGGGTAATTTTCCAGACTTCAAAGCCAAACGTCCCAGTCAACAGGTAGACTATAACAATGGACTACAGGGAATAACAAAATATAAAGTCTTTTACTAAACTTTGTTTTCAAATGATATCAATAAACAATGATAAAAATAATAATGATAATAATAATTCAAAAAAGTAATAATAGTAAAACAACCACAACAACAGTAGCAACAACCATATAAATAACAAAAAAGAAGCAGAAGGAGACGGAGGAGCACGAGCAGATGGAGAAAGAAAAGATAACTTACCACCTGACTAAAGTCATAGCTCCAGGGCAGAAAGAGAACACCAGTCAGGTACTTTTCCCAATGAGAGACGAAGAAGCATCCGATAACATGCCATTGTACCGCAAAGAATATCCAGCTAGAGCCTCCATAATCATCCATCCCCTTCCCAAAGATGGAGAAGAGTCCGAGAGGCATGAGAGCACACAGGATGCTGTCGCTTCCATGGTCAAACAGCTCCCCCAGTGGCGTGCTTGAGCCAGTTCTCCGAGCTTGCTTTCCATCTGTACCATCTGGCGATCAAGAAGGTAGATGTTGAATGTTAAATGATGTATCCAATATTATTAAAGCTAGGGTCACAAAGTTTTGTACGAATCTCCGTTTTTCCATGGTCTTCCCAAATTTTCATGGTCTAAAAATTGTTTGTACGGTGTTCGTAGTGGTTCGTAATGGCATTTGTGACTGAGGCTAATGATGTTCATAATTGAACTTTACACATACATACACATATGTACACATACATGCACCTGTAGCTGTCAATCAGTATCCATACTATCAGTCAGTTTCCATTTTTCAAAACAGAGATTATACACTGTTCATGCTGTTCAGGTAATTGTTATGGAAAATTGCGCTTAGAGACATCGTACAGGTTTGTAGATGTATTAAGGGCTATACAAAAGTGGAATATTAATATTATTATTATGATTATTATATAAAAGCATTTTCATTGTTACCTAACGTATGTCCCAGGAACTGGCAGACAGCAGCTACATACCAGACCCAATTAGGAATGGTTGGGTACTCAGCCTTGGTCCTGTTACCACTGTAGTAGTCCCAGTCATAATAGGCCAGGAGCAGGAATAAGTAGACTTGGAACAGGAACCCAACAAAGGTTAGTAGGTTTGGAGCCAACCACATAGGATAGAACTGACAAAAATAAGGAACAAAAACAAGCTTTTTACCATTGAAAAAAAATTGCACAATTAAAGATGAGTCGTGTAATGGTCACGTTATTCTATTGTGAAAGGAAGCTAGAAAATGTCTTGCAGTTACTCGGTTGATTCCTGTAATTAGTGTATGTTAAAACGCTTTTTTTAGGCACCATCAAATTATAACAAATTTACTTAATCTTATTGGAATCATAAACAATGAAATGCACTGGATTCACAAACAAAAAATATATGCCCTGCCGATTTCAAATTAGGATCAAATTTCTTTTGAAACAGCTCTACCTCTTAAATTTAATCTTGAGTATTATGCATAGCCATTGGACATTCCTCATAGCAATAGTGTCTTACTCTTAAAGATAAACTTTAGTGCAGCGGTTTAGCAAGAAAATTGTGCACTTTTTGATAAAAGCATGAAACTTCTAGCATAGTTAGTTTAGACCATAAGATTTATTTTCAGATGTGGAGGGAAGTCAGATTTGACCTCTGATGACCCTGAGAGGTCAAATCCAAAATGGCCGCCAGTCCGTATGGTCTAATGTACAAACACGCTTAACTTTTGAACCAAATAGTCCAGAAAAACGTTTAAGGTGTCATTTCCAACTAACTTGGGGATGCCAATTCATTTGGTAATACTTTTGAGATCGCCTGAAGTCAGGGTTTTGCATTTAGGTCAAGGTCAAGGTCAAAATTGACTTAAAATAGCAAGTTTTGAATGGTTACAAATGAGATTTGTCATTTGTTCTCAAATTTCTTTAGGAATGGTTCCCCTGCATAGTCCTCCACCTTAATCCTTTTCAGGTAGTTTATTTCACATTTTGTTTTGACCTCTAATGACCCTAAAAGGTCAAATCCAAAATGGCCGCCAGTCCGCATGGTCTAATGTACAAACGCGGTAACTTTTGAACCAAATAGTCCAGAAAAACGTTTAAGGTGTCATTTCCAACTAAATTGGGGATGCCAATTCATTTGGTAATACTTTTGAGATCGCCAGAACTCAGGGTGTTGCATTTAGGTCAAGGTCAAGGTCAAAATTGTCCAAATATAGCAAGTTTTGAATGGTTACTAAAGGTTAAATCCCCATTTTGTTCTCCCCTATGTTCTCAAATTTATTAAGGAATGGTTCCCCTGCAGAGTCCTCCACCTTAACCCTTTTCAGTTAGTTTATTTCACAGTTTGATGTGACCTCAGATGACCATGAGAGGTCAAATCCAAAATGGCCGCCAGTCCGCATGGCCAATGTACAAACGTGGTAACTTTTGAACCAAATAGTCTAGAAAAACGTTTAACCTAGGTGTCATTTCCAACTAACTTGGGGATGCCAATTCATTACGCAATACTTTGAGATCACCAGAACTCAGGGATTTGCAATAAGGTCAAGTTCAAGGTCATATTAGGCCAACAAAAGTGATGTTTTCTTTTTTAAAATAAACTTTGCCTCTATTTTGACACTTAAGGGGTCATTATTTTAAAAAAATCAATAAAAGACCCGTGTACCACCACTTTGACTATCCAGGGCCAACGGGGGCTCAGGGCGAATTTGCCCCCGAAATGCCTAAAACAGCCCCCGAAAATCAGAAAAGAGCCCCAGTAAATTTGCATAGAGTTCAATGCAAAACAAATTTTAGAGTGTTATTTTTATGAAGGCAAGCTTGAAAAGTAGCCCCCGAAAAATAAATATTAATTTTTTCCCTGCCATATTTTATAGAGCTGCTTATCGGCTGGTTCTGTGCTTACGTATGAGTTTCTACTTCATAGCACTGCTAACCGTAAGCACACGAAAATGCATTAACCTTACGCTGCTTACTGGACGAAAATTAATTTTGTAACAATGCAAATCCATTGTGAACGCACAAGCTGGACGCCTTGTTTTCTTGCTAACCAAATTTGTCTGCTACAGTTGTAGCACGAAAATTTGATTACCGGTAAGCAGCTTTAAGAAATTGGGCCCAGAAGACCAAAAAAGCTATTCCAAATACGACCTAAAACCTGTTCATTACCCCATGAATTTAGCACTATCCACAACTTATGAATTATCCTAATGGTAACGATCAAAATCTAACAGTCTCCAGAACAAAAGCACAGTTCAGTGCATCCTTTCTTGCAGCGACAGTGAATTATTCATGGCACAATTTTGATGCTTCCGGGAGAGTGATCCAAAGAGGCTGCCACCCAGTTGTTTCGTTTGTCCAGCCCAAGTCAGATGGCTCTGGCATCTCTGGATTCTTGGCCAATATCTGGTTCCAACAATTGGCCTGGTAGCAAGTGCGCTTGATGTGCAGCTTGAGTGCTGTCTGGGTTGGAGGAAAGTTCTCCAGGTTTCTAGACTTCTGTGCGAAGAGCTGTTTCCTGGCATCATTCACTACCATGCTCTCACTGGTTCGGTCGTATCAGCACCACAAATCGCTCTGGCAGTAACATTGATCCTTCACTGACCTCCCTAGGCATGCACAGGAGTTCACTGAAGGAATCATTCACTTCTGGGAAAGACTTCTAAGTTATTCCTCTGGATGCAGAAACAGTCTGACACCCGGTGAACGCATGAAAGATTGGGAGAGTCATACATTGTGTCGGACTCATGGTGGCAACCATCATGATTTTGTGAAAAGCTATGTACCGAAAGCTTGATCTGACACCAAAAGCAATCCACAGCATCAGGAGCTGTCTTGCTGAATGAAGCCTCGGCCAGTTCAACCGCATCAGTACCACCAGTACGTATGGTTACCCTTTTACACCCATGGGGCAAGGCCTGCCAAGACAGTGTGACTCAGCAGGAGAGCAGAGTACTCCACTTCCATCTGTTGCATATTATACAGTTCCTTGCCCTGTGGTAGAGGAAGATGAACGACATGACATGAAATCCAACTATTCGGGTTTGTTCTCATTGACTCGAAAGAAGTCCTTCCAGCTTTCTGGCAGCACAGTAGAAAGAGCCACCCTTTTCCTGGTGCCCTTTCCTGCCTTCTTGAGGCTTAAGTGCTGCAGTGCTGCAAGCTGTGCCTACTGTTTTAACATAACCTTCGCCGGCTGCCGACTGAAAAATGGCAACTTGTTCGTATGAAGTGTTTGTGTGACAGGTGTCGTACACTGCCAATGACTAGTAGGTCTTGACTTTGTTCTAGAAATGGATTCCCCATCTCTTTCAGTACTGTCAGAAGTTCCCATCCCTCAAGAATGCTGCCTGCACTCCAGGTTGCTGCATGGTCATGGTGATGTTGTCTAGTGTTAGCAGAACCGTTATTTTGCTTTATGGCCTGTTCCTCAAACTCTGTAGTGATCCTTTAAATTACTTACAGGCCTCGAATTACATCAAATTTGGGTCAAGGCCACTTTTTTGAGAGGGCACAAATCCACTGAAAGGGGCACAAATCTATCCTAAGGGGCACTAAGGCCAACGTGGAAAGTGCGCGTAAAATCACCGGACACCGTTGTTTTCAAGGTGGGGGGGGGGGGATATGTGCACCCAGGGGCGGATCCAGGATTTCTTCCTTAGGGGGGGGGGGCCCACTTTTTTTTTTTGTCTCAAAAAAACGACTCAGCCAGCCGCTGAATAAGCGGGGGGGGGGGCGGGGTAAGAGGACACTTTTTTTTGTTTTTTGGTCTCGAAATTTGAAAATTTGACATTTTGTTCGCTTTGGGGAGGGGGTGAGGTCACCTTTTTTAGATCAGCCATTGGCATAATTTGTGTGTGTGTGTGTGTGTGTTTCATTTAAAAAAAAAAAAAAAGGGGGGAGGTTGCTCCAAAATACAGACATAAAAAAAACCGAGGGGGGGGGGTTTAACGCCCCCCCCCCCTGCATACGTGCCTGCTCGTCTGAATACAGTTCCCCTCCGCGCAAAGCGCGGAAGCTTTTACGTTTCATTAAATCATTAGAGAAAGAAGACGATTCGTTGTCCCGTTCTCGACTCTTAATCCTCGTCTGAATTCAGTTCTCCCCCCCCCCCATCCGCGCGCGCAAAGCGCGAAAGCTTTTACGTTTTATTAAATCATTAGAGAAAGAAGACAATTCGTTGTATCGTTCTCGACTCTTAATCCTTGTCTAAATTCAGTTACCCCACCTCCTGCGCGATCGAAGCGCGGAAGCTTTGACATTTAATTTAATTATTAGAGAAACAAGACGATTCGTTTTACCGTTCTCGAAAATAATCCTCGCCTGCATGAATACAGTTTTCCCCTTCCCGCGCAAAGCGCGGAAGCTTTTATGTTTCATTAAATCATTAGAGAAAGAAGACGATTCGTTGTACCGTTCTCGACTCTTAATCCTTGTCTGAATTTCAAAAATGTTTTTTGTCTGCTCCTTTTTCTTCATACGTCCTCTTCCTTTTCTCTCCTCTCTTTTTTTGGCTTTTTTTGGGGGGCGCCCCCACTGCCCCCCCCCCCCCGGCTACGTGCCTGCGGTCAGATGAACATCTTTTGATACCTTGTTCGCCCCGGAAACTCATGGGTTGAAGGCAAATTAAGGTCAGATAAGCATTCAGGGGCCCGCCTCAGGGCCCCTGGTGGAGTCGAGGGTGCGGAAACCCCTGAATTTCAGGGGTTTCAGGCATTTGATTACGGTCAGATGAACATATTTTTATACCTTATTTGTGACACTGGCAGGATACTGATTGGCGTGAGGTCCAGCGGGCGGAGCCCCCAGAAGCCCATGGGTTTAAAGCATTACATTACCGTCAGATTAGCATCCAGTGGGGTCCAGGGGGCAGAGCCCCCGGAAGCTCAGGGGTTTAAGCATTTGATTACGGTCAGATGAACATGTTTTTATACTTTGTTTGTGACACTGGCAGGACACTGATTGGCGTGAGGTCCAGCGGGCGGAGCCCCCAGAAGATCAAGGGTTTTAGGCACTAAATTGCAGTCAGATGAGTATCAAGAGGCCTGCCAAAGGGCCCTTGGTTGGGTCCCGGGGGCAGAGCCCACGGAAGCTCAGGGGTTTTAGGCATTTAATTACGATCGGATGAGCAATTTTTGATACTTTATTTTGTTGAGAAACTGGTAGTTAACTATTTTTTCTTTCTTGCTCTCTTTCTTTCTATTTCTCTTTAAAATGCTTTTCAAAAAAAATTTGGGGGGGGGGGGGAGCTGGAGAGGGGGGGGGGGGGAGTTTCCCCCTTTGACGTTTCATTGAATTATTAGAGAAAGAGATTATTAGATTCGTTGTACCGTTCTTGACTCTTTATCCTTTTCTGAATTCCAAGGGAAGCGCGGAAGCTTACGTTTTTAATAAATTATTAGGGAAAGAAGACGATTCGTCTCGATCTCGACTACAGGTATTATCCTTTTCTGAACTCAATTCACACCCCTCCCGCGCAATGGGCGGAAGCTATGACGTTTTAATTAAAACGTATGGGAAAGAAGACGATTCTTTGTACCATTATCTCGACTCTTAATCCTTTTCTGATTTAATTCCAGACCCTCCTCCCGAGAAAAATCCAAGTTTTTCACTGATTAAAAACTGTGAAAACGCACCAAAAAAGGTCACAACGCGAAGTAAAAATGTTGAACCAACGATGGGTAAACAAAACTTCCCGATATTGATTGGTTCAAATAAAAAGGATGGATTGAAAAACTTAGCCTGAGTCATTACGTTTTATGTGCCAAACGTTTCAGTCATTTGGATGAAGACATTCTTTCATATCTCCGTATCGGCAATTAAGTCCCGCCAATTAATTTAGGAGTTCCATAGTGGTAATTAAGTCTTGCCAATAATTATTGTTTTAGATCTCCGTAGGGGCAACAAAGTCTTGCCGATTATCATTGTTTTAGATCTCCGTAGGGGCAACAAAGCCTTGCTGGTAATTATTGTTTTTAGAGCTCCGTAGGGGCAACAAAACCTTCCAGTAATTGTTGTTTTTAGAGCTCCGGAGGGGCAACAAAACCTTGCCGACTATTATTGTTTTTAGAGCTCCGTAGGGGCAACAAAACCTTGCCGACTTTCATTGTATTTAGAGCTCCGGAGGGGCAACAAAACCTTCCGGTAATTATTGTTTTTAGAGCTCCGGAGGGGCAACAAAACCTTCCGATAATTATTGTTTTTAGAGCCTCGGAGGGGAAACAAAACCTTGCCGACTATCATTGTTTTTAGAGCACCGTAGGGGCAACAAAACCTTACGGTAATTATTGTTTTTAGAGCTCCGGAGGGGCAACAAAACCTTGCCCACTCTTATTGTTTTTAGAGCTCCGTAGGGGCAACAAAACCTTCCGGTAATTATTGTTTTTAGAGCTCCGGAGGGGCAATAAAACCTTGCCGACTATTATTGTTTTTAAAGCTCCGGAGGGGCAACAAAACCTTGCCGACTATTATTGTTTTTAGAGCTCCGTAGGGGCAACAAAACCTTGCCGACTATCATTGTATTTAGAGCTCCGGAGGGGCAACAAAACCTTCCGGTAATTATTGTTTTTAGAGCTCCGGAGGGGCAACAAAACCTTCCGATAATTACTGTTTTTAGAGCTCCGTAGGGGCAACAAAACCTTGCCGACTTTCATTGTATTTAGAGCTCCGGAGGGGCAACAAAACCTTCCGGTAATTATTGTTTTTAGAGCTCCGGAGGGGCAACAAAACCTTCCGGTAATTATTGTTTTTAGAGCTCCGGAGGGGCAACAAAACCTTGCCGACTATAATTGTTTTTAGAGCTCCGGAGGGGCAACAAAACCTTCCGGTAATTATTGTTTTTAGAGCTCCGGAGGGGCAACAAAACCTTGCCGATAAATATTGTTTTTAGAGCTCCGGAGGGGCAACAAAACCTTGCCGACTATTATTGTTTTTAGAGCTCCGTAGGGGCAACAAAACCTTGCCGATTATTATTGTTTTTAGAGCTCCAGAGGGGCACAAAACCTTGCCGATTATTGTTTTTAGAGGTCCGTAGGGGCAACTAAACCTTGCCGATAATTATTGTTTTTAGAGCTCCGGAGGGGCAACAAAACCTTCCGATAATTGTTTTTAGAGCCTCGGAGGGGCAACAAAACCTTGCCGATAAATATTGTTTTTAGAGCTCCGGAGGAGCAACAAAACCTTGCCCACTATTATTGATTTTTAGAGCTCCGTAGGGGTAACAAAACCTTCCGGTAATTATTGTTTTTAGAGCTCCGGAGGGGCAACAAAACCTTCCGGTAATTATTGTTTTTAGAGCCTCGGAGGGGCAACAAAACCTTGCCGACTATCATTGTTTTTAGAGCTCCGGAGGGGCAACAAAACCTTCCGGTAATTATTGTTTTTAGAGCTCCGTAGGGGCAACAAAACCTTCCGATAATTATTGTTTTTAGAGCTCCGTAGGGGCAACAAAACCTTCCGGTAATTATTGTTTTTAGAGCTCCGGAGGGGCAACAAAACCTTCCGGTAATTATTGTTTTTAGAGCTCCGGAGGGGCAACAGAACCTTCCGATAATTATTGTTTTTAGAGGCTCGGAGGGGCAACAAAACCATGCCGACTATCATTGTTTTTAGAGCTCCGGAGGGGCAACAAAACCTTCCGGTAATTATTGTTTTTAGACCTCCGGAGGGGCAACAAAACCTTCCGATAATTATTGTTTTTAGAGCCTCGGAGGGGCAACAAAACCTTGTCGACTATCATTGTTTTTAGAGCTCCGGAGGGGCAACAAAACCTTCCGGTAATTATTGTTTTTAGAGCTCCGGAGGGGCAACAAAACCTTGCAGATAAATATTGTTTTTAGAGCTCCGGAGGGGCAACAAAACCTTGCCGACTATTATTGTTTTTAGAGCTCCGGAGGGGCAACAAAACCTTCCGATAATTATTGTTTTTAGAGCCTCGGAGGGGCAACAAAACCTTGCCGACTATCATTGTTTTTAGAGCTCCGGAGGGGCAACAAAACCTTCCGGTAATGATTGTTTTTAGAGCTCCGGAGGGGCAACAAAACCTTGCAGATAAATATTGTTTTTAGAGCTCCGGAGGGGCAACAAAACCTTGCCGACTATTATTGTTTTTAGAGCTCCGGAGGGGCAACAAAACCTTGCCGACTATCATTGTTTTTAGAGCTCCGGAGGGGCAACAAAACCTTCCGGTAATTATTGTTTTTAGAGCTCCGGAGGGGCAACAAAACCTTGCCGACTATCATTGTTTTTAGAGCTCCGGAGGGGCAACAAAACCTTGCCGACTATCATTGTTTTTAGAGCTCCGTATGGGCAACAAAACCTTTTTGAACATTACAAGTCGGGTTGGCTTACGATGACTATAATGTCGGCAAAACTTTTGTGGATTAAAATATTGTGGCCGTAAACGGTTTGATTTTGAAAAGGGCATTCCGGCCAGTGAGAGGGGCATGGCGGCAAATTGCCGATTGCCGGTGGGTAATTCGAGCCCTGTACTTAGCACCAAATAAAACACAAAGTAACTTAAAAAACATCTTACCAGTATTATTGAGCAGTAATGAAAAGGAGCAGTTTTCCTGACTTGAATTGAGGTTTTTGCCGTATACTGCCTAGCTGCCCACTGACCATGCTATGCATATGGTCAGTTACAAGATAAATGGTTTGGTGCTATAATTAGTGAAATAAACTAACTGATAGGGATTACGATGGAGACAATGCAGGGGAACCACTCCTACAGAAATTTGAGAACATTATATAGGGGGACAAATAAATCGAAAAACTGTATGTAACCATTCAAAACTTGCTATTTTTTTTCAATTTTGACCTTGACCTTGACTTAATGCAAAGCCCTGAGTTCTGGCGTACTCAAAAGTATTTCCAAATGAATTGGCATCCCCAAGTCAGTTTGAAATGACACCTAAAACGTTTTTCTGGACTATTTGGTTCAAGAGTTATGCATGTTTGTACAATTATTAGACCATGAAGCGAACTGGCGGCCATTTTCTATTTGACCTCTCAGGGTCATCAGAGGTCAAATCAAAATGTGAAAAAAAACTAAGTGAAATGGATTAAGGTGGGGGACTATGCAGGGGAACCATTCCTAAAGAAATTTGAGAACACAGGGGAGAACAAATGACAAATAAATGGGAAAACTTTTTGTAACCATTCAAAACTTGCTTTGTTTTAGTCAATTTTGACCTTGACCTTGACCTAAATGCTAAGCTCTGAGTTCTTGCGATCTCAAAAGTATTACCAAATGAATTGGCATCCCCAAGTTAGTTGGAAATGACACCTTAAACGTTTTTTGGGACTATGTGGTTCAAAAGTTAAACCATTCCTAAAGAAATTTGAGAACACAGGGGAGAAAAAATGACAAATAAATGGGAAAACTTTTTGTAACCATTCAAAACATGCTTTGTTTTAGTCAATTTTGACCTTGACCTTGACCTAAATGCTAAGCTCTGAGTTCTTGCGATCTCAAAAGTATTACCAAATGAATTGGCATCCCCAATTTAGTTGGAAATGACACCTTAAACGTTTTTCTGGACTATTTGGTTCAAAAGTTACCGCGTTTGTACATTAGACCATGCGGACTGGCGGCCATTTTGGATTTGACCTTTTAGGGTCATTAGAGGTCAAAACAAAATGTGAAATAAACTACCTGAAAAGGATTAAGGTGGAGGACTATGCAGGGGAACCATTCCTAAAGAAATTTGAGAACAAATGACAAATCTCATTTGTAACCATTCAAAACTTGCTATTTTAAGTCAATTTTGACCTTGACCTTGACCTAAATGCAAAACCCTGACTTCAGGCGATCTCAAAAGTATTACCAAATGAATTGGCATCCCCAAGTTAGTTGGAAATGACACCTTAAACGTTTTTCTGGACTATTTGGTTCAAAAGTTAAGCGTGTTTGTACATTAGACCATACGGACTGGCGGCCATTTTGGATTTGACCTCTCAGGGTCATCAGAGGTCAAATCTGACTTCCCTCCACATCTGAAAATAAATCTTATGGTCTAAACTAACTGTGCTAGAAGTTTCATGCTTTTATCAAAAAGTGCACAATTTTCATTATATTGGGAGCTTATCCGCTGTACTACTTGAGTTCTGGTAAAAAAAGAAAATGAATTCTCACAGAATCTAACGAAACTAACACTGAATGTTCAAGATTACAAATAAATGTCATGTGCCAAACAATTTTGGAAGAAAATGTATACTGGCCGAGTAATGAGCATAGAAAGATAAGGAAATCGGGGTAGTACTGGCCCCGACACCATGTGCGTTGTCCCATATACATCTTCCTGTGTAAGTGATTGTTACTTTACCAAGACTCTGCCAAATTTATGATGATTTTGATGACTATACAATGTAGAACCTTGCATTACACCCCATTACTTGCATGCTATATGATCAACTTTTCTGATCCATTCCACACTTTTTCTTTCAAAATGCAATCGCATTACCAGTACTCAAGTTTATCTTTAAAGATAAAGACCAGTTATGGTCATGCGATTGCATTGTGAAAGAATCGTTGTGGAATCGATCAGAAAAGGTTGATCATCTAGCATACAAGTATGTACTGCAAGGTTCTGGAATCATCAAAATGATAAGAAATTTGGCCCAGTCTTAGTAAAGGTACAAGGACCGTACACAGAAAGATGTATATGGGACTATGTACACATGCACGACATGTGCGTTTATCTCTCACAGGCCAATAGATAAACTAATTTACCAAATATATCAATGAGTAGGCAGTTTTCCGGCAAAATTTTTATCATCGTGTATTTAGTCAAAACATATTCTTTCACATGATTGGTAATAAGAGCTTCCATTTCATTTTTTTAAATTGGGGCGTTTCCATTACTGGTTTTTACCTTTAAGAATTCCCTGCTAATAACTTCCTGCAAGGCACCCAACAAAAATAATGAATGATTTCTAAATTACCTTGACAACTGCATTCCAAAATGGATGCATAACATAGACAGCTACAGGTGATGTATCCCTGCTGCTATACTGTGAAACAGAGAGGAAAAAAAATGTTAAACACAAATATGCAAGCACAGTAATAATATTTGACATTTTAAAAAATATTTAAGTTAATCATTTCATTGTGTTTCTTTTTATTAACTGATTTAATTCTAATAGTAGTAGTAGTAGTAGTTCAGGCTCCCACCATAGACGCCTTCAAAACCAGGCTTGATCGTTGCTGGAAGGAACAATGCATATCTCTCAATACTCGAACTAATTTTTTCAATTTCTTTGCTCCTGGGACATTGTACATGGTACATTGTCCAGTCAAGATACAACCTCTTGCCCCTCTGCCTCCCTTGCATATAATGAGAATTATTATTAAAGAGTATGAGTGCAAGAAGATAGACCAAGAAGATAGACCTGGAAGCTCGACTGCTGTCTCAGCATTCTTCCAGTATTTGCAGTAAAGGTAAAGGTAAAGGTAATAAACGCCTGATCTGCAAGGCTACGTAAAAAGTAGTTTCAATTTTATTTATTTCAATTTGTAAAATGACATTTCTATTCCTTTAAAATTTTAAACAACTGATGTGAAAGACTAGTCAACGCACCCTTTTGAGAAAAGCAGGCTTTTCTTGAATGGGTGCGTTGAACTCACCACACCGCACCGTAATGCACCCTTTCGATGTAAGCCTAGACCTACTGATGGTGGGTTGCGGGCGGACGCCTGTGACATGAAGTTATCTACCTTTAATTCTGAGACATTACGGTAGATAACTTCACACAGGCGCGTGCCAGCCAGCAACCCAGCATCGGTATGCACTTGTATTCTGTAGTGGTTTACCGTGAAATATGAGAAAATGTGTATAGGCCTACTAATATCATTGTTTTTCCGAAAAATACTCCAAAAATAACAAGAAAATTGACACAAAACAGGTAATAATTAGTTTAATAAACATAACAACTTTTAACTCATGATATAGGGATGTTACAAAAAAATTAAATCTCAGAATTCAAGCTCTTGCTTTATGCCATTAGACAGAGCTTAATAAGACCTTTTATTTGATGCCTCATTCATCGTAATTAATAGCCCCAGTAATAAGAAAGTTATGCCAATTTTAAATGCCCGGAAATCATGTATTTAATTGCTTTGTTTTCCTTTGTTTTTAAACCAAAAGTTGTGATCTCAAATGTGACCGAAAGATTCTATTTCATTACATAAAATTACCCCAAAATGCATGTATTGTAAATACACAAAAAACCCTAATCGGGCCGTCATTTTTGCATGACATTTTCATATTCCTCCTAAAAAAAAACATATTTCTAATCGATAGATTTTGCTGAAATTTCACCAAAAGCAAATTCACATGTTAACCAATCATCCTAGATACTTTTTTTCAAATCCTGTAGGTGGGATCAGGGTACAGAATGGCACTAAACACGGCTCATGTGAAACAGTGCAGCAAAACAACCTGCCGAAAACATAAATCATAAAAAGTTTAGTATGAAATGAAAGATAACAATGTCATTCTTCTCATCCAATAGAAATCATGAAACAAAAATCTAATCAGCCCATCGAAAGATCACATTTACGTAGGTCTAGGCTATCCAAATTGGTCTCCAATAGTGCATAACACTACAGCCCCATGGCAGAAACCTTTATGGCGAAAGCACACACATTGTAACATACCTACATGATATTTATTTGGACATTTCATGAATATTTACTTCATTTTGGGTATGTTTTAGTAGGGTATCTCCACGCCGGAGTAATGGGTCAAATTTTGGACAGCCAATTTGTACTTCTAAGTTCTAGATTTTACTCATGTTCAATGACGAATGAGCCAACAACATTAACGATGCAAATATTGCAATAAAGAAAGAGGTGCACGCGCAGCTCAGCTTACCTTGTATTTATCAAATCCGTTGATATGGTCTTTGTTTAGATACTTGACAGCCATTCTGATTTATTCCGTTAATATCACTGATATGTACTAAATATTCTTGAAGATAGATGTGTATTACAGTTTTCCATGCAGACATTTAGCAGTCCAGTTCCGAGCTAAGCTAGCTAGACCCTACTTAGGTTTGTCGCACAAACGGTTCGCACAAACAAAGTTCGCGTGTCGAGTCGTCACGAAACCTCTTGTCAAAACTGTCCAAAGTCTAAATCGCACCTCGTTCTTCTCGTTCTGTGTAGGGGAGGGGGAGGGGGAGGGGGAGGGGGAGGGGGAGGGGCGGTGCCCGTGCAGCCTTTCAAGAGCAATGATCGGGGTGTGACTAGGAGAGGCAGGGGCGGCAATTTCAACACTTGCAAGCGGGAAATGGGGGTGATATACTTCTACTTCTACGACGATACTCAGCAGGATCCATAAGTCAGGATGTATAGTGCTGTAGGGTAATATATCCCACCAGTCTGTAGGGTAATATATCCCACCAGTCTGTCCCTCGAAAAAGACAATTTCACAATAATTCACACAGTGAGTCACTGTAGCTTCTGTCTTCCAAACGACACTGTAGCTTCTGTCTTCCAAACGACTGTAGCTTCTGTCTTCCAAACGACGCCCCTACAGATTAAGCACCGTATTTTGTATAGGGGGCACAGAGACAGAGACGGAAAGTCATCAATAACAGTAAAGATTCGGACTTAAGCCTTAAATTAGCACATTTCCAATGATCACGCAGGAAAATGAAATCCGTATGATGTATGAATTTAATGGAGGTAATCAGTAGGCAGTGTTGAAACAATATGAAATTTGAGCGATTTTTTAATGATTTTAAAAATATGGGGTGGGCAATCCTTGCTACTCGGGCGTCTAACGTGTCTGTAGACACTAATTTATAAACATGTTATAAATTGACACGGCACGGCGCATTATTATAACGTCCTTTTGGACGGCATTAACTGGCCTGCATTTGTCACTCTAAACCCAGGAGAGAAATGGCCATCCGGGGACCTGGTGGGTTGATAAAAGCCTTGTGTTATAATTGCCATATTGCCCTCACGGTGAGCATAATGTAGGAATTGCCTCCAGCGAGATCTACAATGTAGTTTCTGTAATAGTTATTTATATAACAAACTTTGGTTCTATGATCTTGGTTTATAAGATGATGACGTGGATCCTAATCAAATGATTGGTTGAAAGCGTACACGTGACCAGGCATTTATTTTGCCTAACGCGTAATCGCGGGTAATTTGGGTAATGACCGGTCATTAGCCAATGGCAATGACCGGTCATTATCAAAATCATGTTAGATAACATCATTTTATAAAACAAATAAAACATAATCTTATAAAACAAATAATAAACATCATTTGTTCGGGCATTAGTAAAATTACCCACACTTGGTACCTTCAAAACAGTCCAAACGCGACTGTTCCATGCATAGGTACCTCGTGTGGGTAATTCTTACTAATGCCCTCACTGATGTGTATTATTTGTATATTAATTACCGATAAGCGATAACACCTGCAAATAAAAACCCGAAGAAATTGTTTAGCAAACATGTTTAGGTATGGTGCGATTTTGTTTATTTGCTCAACGCGCCAAATGACTCTGAATTAGAGAACACAATAGTTTTTCAGCAAGTATATATTTTTGTTCTTTCCCCGTTCTGCATGGTGGCAACTGGGTCAACTTGGCACTTTCCCCATCAAACAGGCGCAGATCCAAGGGGCGGGGGGGGGGGGGGCACGGGGCCACCCCACCTGGCTAAAAAACAGGTTTAAAAAAAGATGGTATCGTCAGTATTTTTTTTACCTTTTTTACCCAAAATATGAAAATGCCCCCCCCCCCCGGCAAAAAAAAGAAGAAGTGAAAACTTTTTTTGTTGTTGCTCAAGGGGAGTGGGTGGGTGCTGAGATTTTTAAAAAAATAGGATTGTTCACTCTCCTCCCCCCCCCCCCCTCCCCTTTATTCGCGGCTGAAAATTTTCTCACGAATTGGGAGAAAAAAAGAAAAAAAAGTGCTCCTTAGCCCTCCCCAGGGGCGGCGATTTCTTTACATGACGGGGGGGGGGACGAAATGCGAGGGGCCAGAATCTGTATACCAACGGAGTGCAGATTTTCTACAATATTTACCTACATACATTTTGAGGGATATTATTCGGGGGGGGGGTACTCACATATAAAGACAAACGGGGGTGTGTCGCTCTATTGGGTCACTTTTCACAGGAAATCCCTAAACATCTGACCCATTTTTAACCAAAATATTACAAATTACCCTTAATACCAAATCTGAGCCCCACCCCCGTTACCCTTACCTTAACCGATATTATGCGAGGGAGCCTACAGCGACCGAGCATGATTTTTGCATTTTTATTAGTCTAAACGCTGCACTTTTGGGCCCTCCGGAGCCCCTGCCCCTCCCCTTATTCGCCGCTAAATATTTTCTCAAGATTGGGTCCCTCCCCCCCCCCCTTTGCCGCCGGCTGAATCCGCCCCTGCCTTTTAAATGCTCTATATTTCCTTTGATTTAACCTAAATTTATTCTTGAATGATAGCTATAGGCCTATAATCTTCAAAAATATAATATTAATTGTTCGAGTTTGTTTTGGCCGAGTTGTGTAGCTCTTGCACACGTGAAAATCAATCGTGCGATTTGAGTAGTTTTTTTTTCATAACATTTGAGTAAATTATGTTTTGTCATACTGTATTTTCACGAGTAACGATAATGAATTGGTATCCAATATTGTTTTAAACTGATACAAACAGATTATTCAAAAGTATTTGATGCATAAAATATTAAAAAGAAAATTTTACAAATATGATATATTTTTAATTTATATTCAGAGGAATAGGAAAAGACTAGGTTGGACAACGCCTACGTGAAAGGCGTGGAAAGCCGCACCCACCCACCCACTCGCTTGCTTGCTGATGTTGACGCCGATCTCTAGCGACCTGCATTGAAGATCACACGTATTAGGTTTCGGCTTGTTAGTTTGGTGGTAATCATCTGAGCTGAGATCGTGAAGTGGTAAGAATTTAATTTCGCAACTTTCTTTTCATGTTTCCATGTTAGTAATTCTTCAGTTTGGCAGGGTGCACTGGTAGAACTTCAAAAGATAGACATCTAAGCTATAAAGTAGAGGTCTATAGTACTACTACTACTAGAACATAGATAGAAGTTTTTTTGTGTGTGTGTGGGGAAGGGGGGGGGGGGGGGGTTGAATGAAGTCAAAGCTAGCTAGCTGGCTAACTTGGGACTTAGACTTAGGTATATATATATAGACCTGACTAGTGATTAAGAATCGAACGAGAAGTGATTGATCTAAAAAACAAGAAAAATTTAAATTTAATGATCAAATGTCAAATGACAAAAATATGCACGGTTCAGATACCAAAGACCAGGCCTTAAATTTCAATATTTTTAGGGCAAGGCCACTTTTCTGTAGGGCACATTCCTATATTACAGCACAAATAGGAAGAATTGGAAAGGGCACAAAAAATCTCCTAGGCCAATGAGAGGGGCATTGAGGCCAATCAAAGGGGCATCCACGGCCATGGCCTTGGTGGCCTTGGATTAATTTAAGCCCTGAAAGACCTTGGATAAACAAGAAATTTATTGGAATTTGCTTCTGTAAAACTCTCAGTATGTATGTCTTCATCAGCTCAAGATTGCCAAATAGCCTTTCTGATTTGGGGAAATAAGCCCAAAGTTACAAATCGCGTCCTCATCAGCTCGAGACTCGACCTCGAAACTCGAGCTCGAGAAATTAGCTCGAGATATTTTGCTCAGCGTCCGCGCATAGTGCGAGTCTTCAGGCTGGTGAAGACGCACCAGACAAATAGCGGGATATTTTGCAAACTAGCCCAAGATATCTTGGGATGATTATCTCGACCAAATATTCCGCTAATTGCAACGTACTGCGGGCTGATGAAGACGCAAATTAGCTGGATAATATGCAATCAGGATAATTAAAATAGCAGGTTATTTGGCAATCTCGAGCTGATGAGGAAAGGCCTTCGGTGCTACGGTGAAAGAGAAAGAGAAAGAGAAAGGGCTCCAAACCATGGAATGGAAAAACAAGAACCTTGAGAATGCCTATATGACCCCTAGTGTGACTATGAAATTGCTTCAGCTGTACTACTGTATTTAAAAATTCAAAATTCTTCATCTTATTCTTGTATTTATTTTTTTCTATGAAATTCAGGAATTATGCTTTTACATCATTTACAATGTACCTTCAATCCAACTTTCTTTGAAATGTGATTTTTCTTGTAGTAATGCTTCATTTCATCTTCTTTATTTTCCTCAGATTTTTACACTCTCCACCTTGGTAACAGTACCCATAGTCAGAATGGCTGGTAAAGGAGGGTAAGTTCCTACTTTTAGAATGAATGTTTATGTGCTTACATACTCAAAGAGTAGGACCACATTCTCACTCACTTTGTTGGACTTGTCTACGCTAAAAGTAAAATCAATCAACTGGACCACTCCAGATCAAGTTACAGTTCATTTGCCTCCACACTCATTAAAAATTCTCCCCTGATAAGACCTGTGATGCCATAACAAGAACCGTTCCAGTTGCTAGCACAGGTCAATGTTTGTACTGCTGACCTGATGTTCAAGTCATGGTTTTGTTTTGTTTTGTTTCCCTCACAAAATGACTACCGGGTATTTATTTTCCTCATTTAATGTTCTGTTTTCATCTTTACTGTATTATAGTCTTTTGTTTTCCTCCCCTTGGAAAAAAAAAATTCTCATGATATTCCTTAGCATGTTTTTATCTTATCCTTTTGATTCTTCTTTTAAAAAATCATCCATTGCATTATTCTTTGTAATTTCTGTTAAATTATTTTCTTTTTACATGTTATCCATTAATTCATGTTATTTCTTGTTTTTCTTTCCTTCTTTTCTTTTCTTTTCTTCTCCTTTTATTATGTTATTCTTAAATTTTCTATAAAGGCTATCCTTTGTTTTCCTCCTTTCACCTTCTCTTTATCTTAGTCCTTCTATTTATCTTAGTCCTTCTATAATCTTCTCTTTTTATTTTTCCTTTTGTTATTCTTTGTCGTTGTTTTTTTAAAATTTTCTATCATTTACTTTCTATTTTTCCTTAAGTCTTTTTTCTAAGATGGATAGGATGTTGACAGAATGCAAATGGAAAATTCTTCTTGTTTAAAAAAAAGAAACATTTCTCATATTCCTGTGTTTCGCATTCCAGCGAACACAACAAAACATAATGAAATCTGAAAATTATGCCTGCAGAAATATCACTGATTTAGCAGTGTAAATGTCAACTCTTGAAAGATTGATGAATGATTCTGTTGTTTCGTCACATGCAGGTGACACTATGAACATGACGGAAAAAGAAAGAGGACAAAATATACAGTTCCTCAATCTACCCTCAACAATTGCTGTGGTAGACAAAGGAACATCCCTTCACTGCTATTATGTAAAAATGTGTAGAACAGGTGAATATGCATGTGACACCTGTTCTACACATTTTTACATAATAGCAGCAATTGTTTAGGGTAGAATGAGGAACTGTATATTTTGTCCTCTTACTTTGTCTGTCATGTTCATAGTGTAAGGGAAGGGTTGCGCATGTGCACTCCTCACCAAAACATCGAAATGAGCAAACACCAGCAGTTTTTATTGGTTTTTTCCAGTAGTGTGCATGACAGTAAAAAAAAAAATGGATGAATTTTCAAAATGCTGTTTGGGCTGTGTAAATGGGCCTTCTGTCGTTAATTCATTCATTCTTCCTTTTATCTTTGCTAGATTCAACCCTGATCGTGAGCTGTCTGAGATCTGTAACAAGCTATGGGGTCTGGATGAGAACCGGCTGGAACCGGATAAAGACTACAAAATGAATCTTCAACGTTACACTCATTACCATAACAAGGGCGAGGTCGATCAAGCCAAGGACCCCCTCTTTACCTTCGTCACCGAAGAAGCATTACAAAAACCAACCTTCAAAGGTAAACTATCTCTCAAAGATTGTACCCCCGCTTTGCCTGGGTGACCCCAGAAGCATTACAAAAACCAACCTTAAAAGGTAAACTATCTCTCAAAGATTGTACCCCCTCTTTGCCTTGGTGACCCCAGAAGCATTACAAAAACCAACCTTCAAAGGTAAACTTGTCTCTCAAAGATGAAATCGAGTTCTAGGCCCTGTTTTATGAGACTTCTTATCAATAACAAGTGCTAACATTATATGACAAAATACCAATGATGGTTTTGCAAGTATTATATCAAACAAATGCAATCTTGTTTAAACAACACCCCCCTCCCCCCATGGCCCAAACAGTATTATTATAATCATCCAGTGCAGTAATAATCCATGTAAATGTGTTTGTTTGTAGCTTTTGTTGCCTTGTTAGACAACTATGCAACAGAGACGGGAGTAGCAGAAGAAGTAACAGCCCAAGAGATCAAGGAGAACCAGATGTTTATTGATCGCATCATGGAAACTGAGGTGAGGTCTTTAACCCTTTGAATATTGCTCATTATATTTTATGTAAATGAGACCTGTCATGTTATGTTGAATGGGTTATAAATTTAATATCAGAAAGATATATTTTAAAGTTATTCTTAATCTGAAAGCCCAACTCTTATATCTCTTTATTCCTCTTGTTCCTCTAAAAATAAGTGTATAAAGTAGGCCTTTAAGTTGGGGCTTTGATCGGATCGGAAGATCGAAGCGACACCCTCGCACCTTTGATCGGTACATATATAAATTGTTTTTGTTTAATGCCGAAAAAAAAGGAATAGCTGGGATTATTTTATCTAATACAGTCAAACCTGCTTTATTGACCACCTGTCTACAAAGGCCACATTTGTTGTTTCCCTTCAAAATGGTTTCTCATTGAATAATTTTGTACTAAAGAAACCTGTCTACAAAGACCACCTATCTACAAAGGCCACTTGTTGTGTTTCCTTTGGGTGGTCGCTATAGACAGGTTTGACTGTATTATCAACCGGCCTGAAAATTACTTGATTTATTTATTTTTCCCAATGTTTTTTTTCTTCTTGATTTTTTCTTCTCTTTTTCCCCCGGATTTTCTCTATTCTTCCCGATTTTCGCTATTTTTCCAAATTTTCTTACTCAAAAGGGGGAATATTGTAAGATGCCATTTTTTCCCCCGAGTCCTCTTCTCTTTTTTTTTTTTACTCAAGGGGGGGGGGGGGGGGGAATTTAGTGCTCACTGTCACCCCTGTATCAATTTCAAAGTCTTGAAAAGGCACTAAATATCAACAAACATGGTCTGCAACAACTCTAAATGACAAAATAATCCCAGCTTTGCATTTTTTTAAAGCATGTGATAGCCCAAAACTTGAAAATTTTCGGCATTAAAAAAATATTGATCGACGATCGAAATTTATGATTCGATTTCACCTGATCGGCGAACAATCAACCCCGATCCAATGATCGGTTACAGGGTTAGTATATAGGCATGTTAAATGCTCTGTATTTCCTCATTTTTCCCTCTGATATTCCATAAATCTTGCCATGGAAGTTTGGCAGGTATGTTGATAGCACTTTATAGAAATCCAAATTTTCTGATTGTTCTCCCCCATTAGGTAATGCGGTATGCACACAAACAGCTCTCAGAGAAGGGTAAGGTACCGCCAGACGTCAGAGGGTTCAAGCACTCCCTCTATGACCTCTGGTTCAAACTCTACAGAAGAACAAGGGGCATGGAGTGAGTTTACAGATCAGTTAATTTAATTACTTATTATTCCTAAGTTTCATTTGAGGTGTTCACACTTGTACAAGCATTGCTTTTTAGTGGACCCCTCTGTTTCCAACATGTATTTCTTAAATTTGTTTTAAATGCTTATAATTGATTTGTAATGTTCTGTTGGAAACATGAATAAATTTGAAATTTGAATTTTATTCTCTCTCACAAGAAACTAATTCTCAATCTTGTGAAATTAAAGGCCGTCTGTACTGTTTTGGCTAGCTAGGAAGGATTAGACCACCTAGGGTGGTTATCTCATCAACTCAGCTCTCAATTAACATAAGAAAAAGAGGATCATGGGTGACCAATGGTCACTGATTGGCATTGTTTTTTATATAGAGAGAGCAAGTAGCAACCAGTAGTACAGTGAGGCTTTAAGGCTCCTATTCTGTTTTGTGATCACATAATGTGTATTTGTCATTGTACACTTCTTTGTTATGTATAATTCTGCTGTGACGTGATCTTTGTTTATTATTGTTCAACCAATGGAAGAAGAATTTCTGTCATATGATAGATGAATCAATCTATTAAATTCAATTCAATTGAACAGAAATGTATATATCCTCTGTATAAATCAAGCAAATGGGTTGGGGGTAACTTGTGCATATATATACATTCACTTCATTACTACAATATATACATATATATATACAGCACTACAGCACTACATCCTCAGTACTACATCCTTAGCACATCCTCAGCACTACATCCTTAGCACTACATCCTTAGCACTACATCCTTAGCACATCCTCAGCACTACATCCTTAGCACTACATCCTCAGCACTACATCCTTAGCACATCCTCAGCACTACATCCTTAGCACTACATCCTTAGCACATCCTCAGCACTACATCCTGACTTATGGATCCTGCTGAGTATCGTCGTAGAAGTAAAAGTAGAAGTATATATATATATATATATATATATATATATATATATATATATATATATATATATATATATATATATATATATTACACTGTACTACTATATGTTGCTACTATTTTTTGTTTACAACCGATTTATGTTTGTAGGAGAGGTGAGGCTGATTCTTCTGGGTTTGAGCATGTGTTTGTTGGTGAGACCAAAGGAGGCACGGATGTGATTGGGTTCCATAATTGGATCCAGTTCTACCTACAGGAGAAGAGAGGCCATGTAGACTACAAGGGATGGATCCCTCCAAGAACCAGAGTAGGTCAAAATTAGAGATATTTTGAAAAAGGAAGATGGCGCCTTTCTAGAAAATAACACACGAGCCTCTCTTTAGCAAAGTTTTGATCCAACAGGACTTTTGAAGGCCTTTTCAGCTCTGATTTTACTGCTCTTTGATTTAGTGTTTCCTAATGCCGGACAAGAGATTAAACTCCCCGTCCAAAAACGGTGGATCGATCGAGAAAAAGCAAAGAAAGTTGCCCGTTGATTGTCAGCGATCCAACGCCATGTCTCCGCCAGCCGGCCCCGGCAGCTCCCGGGTGAGTGACGCGGCCGCTGCAGCCCCTGTTTGGTTCATAGAATATGAAAGGCGTTTGGATTCAAAGTTTGATGACCTGCATAAGAGACTGGATTTTCATGAAGCTGCTTGTGAAGAAAAGTTCCAACATCTGGAAAAGGAATTGGCTGCAGCTTTTGATAAGATTGACGACCTTGAGAATAGATCTCGAAGAAACAATCTAATCTTTTTCAACTTCCCTGAAGGTGAGGAGCCTGATTCTGCCAGTGGATGCAGTGAGTTGATTTCATCTTTTTTGGCCTCTATTGACAAGAATCTTGAGCATGTTCAGATCGAGAGGGCTCACCGCACGCCGCCAGGTCCACCATCATCTCGTGGACATCCCCAGAATGGCAGCCAGTACAAGCCGAAGGATCGTCCAATTCATGTTTGCTTCAGTTCGTTTCAAGATCGAGTGAGGGTCCGGAAGGCATGTGTTGCTGCGTTCAAGGAGGGGTTCAAGTACAAAGAGAGATCAAAGTTGTTTGTTGCAGAGGATTTCAGTCATCGCGTTCAGGCTCGCCGTAAAGCTCTCCTGCCTGAGTTAAAGATGTTGCAGCAACAAGGAAAGCGAGCATTCTTTGTATACCCTGCGACAATTAAGTATGTCCAAGATCACCAGCTGAAGGTTCACAAGCCAGGTGTTTGAATTGCAACTGTAGTACACCATAAAAACACTGTGATTATCATAGTGGCTGTCTCGTACAAACCGTCTGACTTTCACAGAAAACTTTTATATTTTACAAGATAACATGCCTTGAACTTAACGCGTTTTAACTTGCTGGACACCAGATTAGTTTAGTGATGTCGGTCTTTTTAAACATATTTTGTTCACTTAAACTTTTTTAGGAATTCTCGGGGTGCCCTGGAGGTGCCTTGTTTTTGGTTACCCACGATTCACCATTGGGGATAATAGTTTTTATTGTTCTTATCCTTGTTGGTACTGGTTCATTATGATTAATTATGAGGCTCTAAGGTTTTCTCATTCTTGCCTCATACCGTTGGCTGCCTTTCCAGTTTGTTTTGTTTTTGGTGGGTGTTTGTGCGTATGCTTTTTTCACTGAGTGTGTGGTGTGTGCCCTTTTCCCAGGGGTCCTTTATCATGAATCAAATTGTGTACATTTTTAGGATATTACTTGTTTTGTCAACTCACTGTTGCTACTCTAGGTTTTTACTGTTATATGATGTTACAGATTAATACTTTTAACTGCAGAGGTCTGCATGACAATTTTAAAAGAAAGAAAGTTTTTAATTTTTTAAGAGAATTTGGGTATGATATAATCTTTCTTCAGGAAACCCACTCTAGGATAGATGATGAGAAGCTGTGGCGTACTCAGTGGGGAGGGGAGGCAGTTTTTGGCAGCTATTGTTCCAATAGCCGAGGTGTGGCTATTTTGTTTAAAGCTTCTTTGAAAATATCAGTCTTATCTTTTCACCTGGATCCTGAGGGAAGATATATTATCCTCCATGTTAATGTTAATGATGTACACTTTATTCTTGTCAACTTATATGGTCCTAACAAAGACTCACCAGATTTTTTTGTTAATGTTTTTGCTAAGTTAGATGAAATAGGTAACTCTCATGTTATTTTAGCAGGAGATTTGAATATTGCGGTAGGCCCTTTAGATTATGAGGGTTCTAATGCAACCCACTCTAATGCTCGTGCCAAAATTGCTTTTAATATGTATGTAGAAGAACTAAGTCTTGTAGATGTATGGAGAAGAGATCATACTCATGATAAGAATTTTACACGCCATCAGAAAATTCCATTTGTTTCCTCCAGGTTAGACTATATTTTTATTTCTAGTGATTTGTTGAATTGCGTAAAGAAATCTAAAATTGTGACTGGTATTTGTTCTGATCATTGTATGGTAACACTAGCACTGTCACTAAATGATTCACCTCGGGGCAAGGGATACTGGAAACTGAACACTGCACATTTGAAACATTCAGAATTTTGCAATTTCATTAAAGACAAAATTAAGGAATTTAAGGAATTTCATGCTGAATGTGATCTAAATCCACATATTATTTGGGATGCATTCAAATGCACAATGGCTGGTCATTGTATGGAGTATTGCAGTAGAAAGAAAAAAGAAAAGAATTTGACTAAGAATAATTTACTAAAGAGTATATCCTTACTTAAAGAAAAAATTGGTTCATTGAAAAAGGATAATAGTTCAAATGGAGAACTGCAAGAATTATATAGCAAATTAGAAGTTGAAGAAGCACAGTTGAATGAACTTCTGGATACTGAAACTGCTGGCTCTATAGTAAGGTCTAGATTAAAATGGGCTGAACACGGAGAAAAAAGCTCTAAATACTTCTGCAATTTAGAAAAACGGTCCTATGAAAGAAAAACTATACGCCAACTGAAGGCGAACAATGAGCAAATCATCACTGATCCTAAAAGAGTACTTCAGGAAATTCATTCGTTTTATAAAGCTTTATACTCTTCAGAGGTATCTCTTGAGGATAGGGACACTATCAAGGATTTTATCGCCCCTTTGAATATACCTACCTTATCAGATGATTCAATTTCTGCTCTAAACAGACCTTTAACCAAAAATGAACTTTGGACTACTTTAAAGAATATGGGAACAAATAAGAGTCCAGGACTAGATGGCCTTCCTTGTGAATTTTATTTAACCTTTTTCAATGATATCATAGATTTATTACTCCACTCTTATAATTATTCCTTTCAAGAAGGAATTTTATCACAATCTCAAAGAAGTGGAATAATCACGCTTCTTCCAAAAAAGGGTAAGGATCCATTGTTAGTGAAGAATTATCGCCCTATCTCTCTACTGAATGTTGACTATAAATTATTAGCCAAAGTTATGAGCTCCCGTTTGAAGTCTTGTATAAATTCTTTGATACATACAGATCAACAAGGGTTTATGAAGGGACGCAACATTGGGGCCAATATTCGGGTTATAATTGATTTAATTGAATATACAGACTATATGAATGAGCCAGCTACAATTATTTTGTTAGATTTTGAGAAAGCGTTTGATAGAATAGAACATGATTATTTATTTTCAGTCTTGGACTATTTTAATTTTGGAGACAATTTTATAAGATGGATAAGGACTTTTTACAATGATAGAACTAGTTGTGTGTTAAACAATGGTTTTATGTCCAATCCGGTTGCAATTAAAAGAGGAATATTCCAGGGGTGCCCAATATCCCCTCTTTTATTTATACTAGCTATTGAAATTCTGGCTATTTCAGTACGACACAATCCGGGGATAAAGGGAATTTCAGTTGGCAACTTTGAACAGAAGATAAGTCTTTTTGCAGATGACACAACTTGTTTTTTGAATGGGGAAACAGTTTCCTTTAAACATTTATTTGAAACGTTGACTCAGTTTGCAAAATTTTCAGGTTGTCGCATTAATTTAAGTAAGTCAGATGCAATTCATATAGGAAAGCTGAAAGGCAGTACAGTTATTCCACAAGATGCATTAGGGTTGAATTGGAAATCAAAAACGTTTAAGGCTTTAGGAGTGGTTTTCTCATTGAACACAAAAATGCTTTACGAACTGAATTTTGTTCCCAGACTTGTCATTATAGAACAGATTTTAAATTGTTGGCGGCATAGAAGCCTATCCTTGTTGGGCAAAATTGCTGTTGTAAAGTCGCTTTTACTCCCCCAAATGTTATTTTTGTTTTCAGTATTATGTATTGACCTGCCAAACTCTTTCTTTAAAAGATTAAATGGTTTGCTTTTTAAATTCATTTGGAGCAATGGCAATGACAGAGTTAAGAGAGATATATTATGCAATGATTATGAAGAAGGGGGTCTAAGGATGATTAATCCTTTAGTTTTTGCACAAGCGCAGAAAGTTTTGTGGATGGCTAAACTATTAGACGATAAATATGAAAGTTGTTGGAAAACAATAGAAATATATATTCTTTCTACCTTTTGTGATGACCATCTTGCCCTTTTTAAGGCAGATGCCCCTGATTCGGTTTTGGCAAAACTTAAAAATTGCCAGTTAACAGCGTCTATTAAGACATGGTATTTATATAGGCAAGAGATGAAAAGAGAACTAGGTTTATGTCAGTTTCATTTACAAGATTTTATTTGGTGGAATAGAAATGTAAGATTGCAGTATAGAACACATTTTTTCTATCCAGTTTGGTATGAAAGGGGTATTCATTCCATTTTTCAATTACATAATGGTTTTGGTAATCCCAAAACATTTGAAGACCTCGTAATTGAGTTTGACATTCCTATTAGAGACCAAAAAAAATATGACTCCCTCATGAATGGCATATTTTTGGAGTGGTTTGATAATTCTCTTAATGTGGATGAGAATATATTTAATCAAATTTTTAAAGATCTATTAAGTCAAAAGAAAATGTCTAAGTATACATATAATATTTTGCTGAAGAAATATAGTTGTACTAATGCCAAAAGGGAGAGTAAATGGGAGGAACTATTTGGCCATCAACCCAAAGAGAAGGATTGGTCGATTATTCATACGAGTAACTTTTGTTGCACGATTGAGACTCAGTTAAGGAGTTTTTATTTCAAAATTTTCCATAATGCTATTGGTTTTAATGCATTTTTGTTCAAGATTGGGAGAAAGGAGTCTGCTAATTGTTATTTTTGTTCAGATTTTCCAGAAACTTTAGATCACTTGTTTTGTGACTGTAGGAGAGTTGTACCACTGTGGGAAAAATTGGTGGATAAGATTAACACTGGCACTGATCACAGTTATAATCTGACTTTGTCAAAATTTAATTTTTTGTTTGGGATACAGTCAAGGGACAAATACGCCTCTTGTATAAATTTTCTCTGTTTATGTTTAAAATATTATATTTACTCATGTAGGTTTCAGGGAAAAGAACTTATTTTCGAAGCATTTGTTTCAATGGTAAAGTTCAAACAAAAAATAGAATATAAAATTGCCCAAAAGAAAAATAAGTTACAAGTCCATTTTAAGAAATGGTCTATCAAGTTTAACTGAAATTTAGGAGTAGTCTTGCAAAGCTCTGTTGTCATTAACATCTTCATTGACTTTTTGAAATGTAAACTTGCCCTCTGGGAAAGTATGTGAGTGTGTGTGTGTGTGTGTGTGTGTATGTTTATGGGTGCATGAGTGCGTGCCTGTTTTGTAGTTTTAAGATGATATTATATTTTATATTGCTGCTTTTACTCTGTTAATTTTTCAAAAATAACAATAAAAACAGAAAAAAAAAAAAAAAAAAAAAATTAGAGATATTTTAATAATAATAATAATAATAGAGTATTTGTAATGCGCTAACTCCACATGACTAATGTGTTCGAGGCGCATGGAGAAGAAAAACTATAAGTACACAAAATACACACAAAAATGAACAACAACAATGTGAAAACAAATCTTAATCTACTGGAAAGCCGCTTTGAACAAATGAGTTTTGAGGGCATGTTTAAAGCAATGTTCACTTGAAATATAACAAATATGTTGTGGCAATTGATTCCATAGGTGAGGTCCAGCGTGTGCAAATGACCGATCCCCCTTCCAATTACCCTTACAATTGCAAAAGTCTGCAAAACCCACTCACTACCAATGAACATACATTCATTACGATATAGCCATGTGTCGATAATACACAGTAGGTCTAAATTATAGATATTTTACCCTTCTACTTGCAAAAGTCTGTAAAACCCACCCACTACCAATGAAGCTACATTCATTACTAGGCATGTGTCGATAATCCCTCCTTATTGTCATGAGGAAAAGACCACATCAATTTGTTTGGCATATTATTAGAAGAGAAGGCACAGAAAACAGGATACTGACTGGAAAATTGAGGGGTAAGAGAAGCAGAGGGAGACAGTGAATCAAATACATGGATAAGTTCATTGGGCTGACTGGTAAGAGAAGCAAGGTTGCAATACAAAGAAACAGAGATAGAAGTAGATGGAAAGTTTTGATTGCCAATGTCTAGATAAGGCACCTAGCAAGCGAGCAAGGGATGCCAGGACATTGTGTCACGAAACATCACAAGTACAAGTTTGTTGATATCCCATTGAGACAAGTCTTTATTCAAATACTGCGTTTCATTTATGTTGGCTAGTTTCATAAAATGATGATCAGTTTTCAGGCTCTCTTGTCTCTCTGTTTCATGCCTTGTGTTGTATTGAACATAAAGGGCTCATAAATTTTGATTAGAACTTGTCATGCTATTTTATTAAAATCAACTGGCATCCCCAAAAAAATCTTTTTTGAATGTTGAATAGGTAACTAGTTATTTTCTTTGTGAACAAAAATGATTATAAAGCTAAAAATGTACATACATTCCACAAACATGATAATGCACTTTAACACTGAAAACTATGAGGTGACAACCTTCAGTATGTCTTTATTCAAAGGTATACTTTGAGGGGTCAGTGACACAAAGACGTAACTCCATTTTGGCCATTTTGAGAATAAGTGGTTTATGTGTCACTGAGCACTTGGGCCTTAAGGAGTTAAGTCTATTTTTCACTAGCCATTGACTTCAATGGGGTGTTGGGTGGAGTTAGGTCTTTGTATTTCCTGGAAAGCCCACATTTCTCTGAACATTTTGATATCAGATACTCATTTTGGCAAGATATGGAGTTATATCTTGTGTCACTGAACCCTCGACTTGAACTTTGTTGCTCTAATCATCTTCTTTTTCTTTGTGACCAGGGAAAGAAGCGAGTGGCTGACAACACATCTCAGCTGGTTACCCTGCAGTTCAAGTGGAAGGATACAGTCAAGCCACTAGGTAGCTCCTTCATTGGAACCAGTCCAGAGTTTGAGATAGCGCTGTACACCATTCTGTACCACCTGGGAAAGAATGGACCCAACCAGCTTGAGATTGAAGATTACGATGTAGAGATCGTTGTGCACTTCATGGGTAATAAGCTGGGTAGCTCGTATCCTGTAGCCCTGGCCCAGGCCTAGAAGGGCAGAATCCCCCCCCCCCCAGGTACCCTCCCTCGGACAAGTGTACCTAGGGCTAGGGGAAATGAATTAGGGTTGGTTGTCTGCATGTAGGATGGAGTTGTCTTAGAAGAGGTAGCTGTCTGTCCTAAGGGGTATTACAGTCGTCCAGGGTATACTTGTTCAATGTTGTTTACCTATGAAGGGATAGTATTTGGGGTTCTTGTCTTATAATTGCCTAATACTTCACTTGGTCATGCATGTACAGGTACATGTGCTTCCATATAATGATGTAATGAATAATCTATTGAATGTATTTAACGTCACCACAATGCCTGTTGTATGCAAACTGTTTCAGATGTCTAGATTTTCAATATATGTGACTTTTCAAGGGCAGGAACCCACGTATCTTACACTCAGGGATTGTAACAGAGTAAACCAAAAGACAGGTATGTGTAAATTTAACAGGGTGGAACTTACTCAATTAACAGTAAATTTATGTATACATACAAACTTTGAATTACATAGTGCATCTTGAGCACCTAGTCTTTTCTATCAAGAATTTAAACAATGTTTGTTTTTGTAATTCAATGGGCCAGTAAGTGTGATTTTACATATATACATGTGACAAAAGTTACTTTAAAAGTTTTTTTTATACATCTTCCTGTACATAGTAACACAATCGCAGGGTAATAATCGGGAGCACCAAGAGGGTCAAATCTGACTGACATGAGCGCTATACAAGAACCCACTATTATTATTATTATTGTTTAACCTCCAAAACATACCTTTAATAGGTCTTGGACTGGGAATCCACCTTGTCTAATCAACGACATACCATTAAAAGGAGGATTATAGCAATTTTGATATAAGTCTTGATGCACAAACTACACAGTAGTGCCTACACCTGCTACAGAAGTGTAGAGGATCAGGGTACCTACATGTTAGTTAGATATTTGTTAGTTGACATAGCGTTGATATTAGGTTAAACTAGCAATGAATTATAAAATGAAATACTTGTGATCAGTTAGTAGTATTCTTTCAGCATGTATATAAATTCTTCATGATTGGATCAAATTCAGTGCAAACATTAGTTGATTATAGCTCTTTCAATCTGTACTGAAGAAAATTAATGTATTTTTCATAGGCTTCCTAAATACTAATATAAACTGTATTCTCTCTCCGATTTACTTGTAAGAATTCCTTTGAAATAATTGTGACTTTTTGAAAAAGTATGTATCTGTAAATTTAGGTCGTAGTGCTTATTTGTTAACAGAAATATGTAATTAATTCTAAACCTTGTTTTAAAAAAAATAGAGATTGTTAAAGACAAGTGAAGAAAGATGTATCCAAGTCAGCCATGATAATATTGCCCTTTACTGCCTCTGTTCTTTGCCAAACTGATATGTAGATCATGGCCTGTATTTGCAAAGTTTATGTAATGTAAAGACGAATCATGTAGATTAATTTAGTGTATGTTAGAATAGGCATGGATATACATACAGATACACTTGTATATTTTCTGTGAAGATTAATCATTGCACTTGCCAGTTACTCATACATGTATGGTGTACCCCAGGGAACAGTGCTACCACCATTTCAATACATGTACTTAAACAAGTGCACTGCTAGTCTCTTTGGAAAGATACTTGTAATATATGCAATTACCTAGTCAACATTCTGGATGTGCTAACTATTATGTGTTACATACATGTGTATCATCATTATTGCCTCATTAGGAGAAATGGAAAATGCAGGTATTTTTTATATCATTCCCAGTCTACCTGTCGCCAACTCTAGTTTGGCCTCCCTGCTGTCTTCATGGATGGAATTATGACATCATTATCATTTTATTTCATTTTAAGATGATATAAAATCTGACATTAAATCATTTTTTGAAAGAACATAATAAAAAGAAAATGAAAGAACACGATAATGCTGTTGTAATTTTTATTTTCATTTTCTTACAATATTATCATATTCTTTCATTTCCTTCCTATTCAAAAGGGCCGACTAATATTATCTGTAATAGTCATCCTCATCTATCAGTGTTGATACATGTACACTTTTTTACATTTTATAAAGACAAGTTCATCATCATTACCAAGCATTTTGTATGAAATATTATGGACTAAAAATGGATACGTATACATAACTTACGTTTTGCCCGATTTGTTTAAAGTGTATTGATCACAAAAAAATATTTTGTTCTGTACGTTAGGGGTTCAATGTCTCCTTACTACATGTATATTCAAAATAAGAGCTTTAAACTTTAAATCTATAAAGAAATATTGCATATCTGCATACCTGCCAACCCTTCCGAATATTCCAGAATATTCAGATTTTCTGGATTTGTAGGACCTGAAATTAAATGTGCAAAGATTCATGCTACACACAAATTATTTTTCTAGGCGATTGGTACACTTTAACATGAAATACAGACAAAAGGAAATCATTATGTGTTTATATAGTGGTGCAGGGTATCATATATATTTTGTTAGTTTAGTCTTATAAAGCAATAGTTTTGTAACTGAAATGATTTAATTATATATTTCACAAATCTTATGAAGTATGTTTCCAATCTATTTTGTTTATATTCAAGTGTGTTTTGGTCTTTAGTTACTAGATGTGAATCGTTTAATACCGGTACATGTAAATGAGAAAAGGATCTAGGATTTTTTAAAGGGAGGGGGATCGAGGTTCCCATTCCCCCAAATTCGGACGAGCAATATCAAGCTAAAAGGATGGGTTTATAACTTAAAATGCCCTCAAATTTGGTCATCCCCTAAAAGAAATTCAATTATATGCTTCACATGACATGCATGCACCCAAGTGTTCAGGTATTGGGGAAAAAAGTAATTAACCTGCAGGAGTTTTTAGTTGTGTGTGTGTGTGCCTGTGTGTACAAAGAGGTTTGGCAAGTAAGGATGACAAAAGTAGTTGTGCACAACATAAGTCCTATATAATGAGTTCAAAACAAGCTTAGTAAGGTTCTATGAAAATGGGCCCTGGTAATGTTGGCAGAAATAATTAATTCAGAGGAATTTGCCTCGGTCACACCTTTGCATATTTGGCTTGCGTATTGTTGCGTATTTATGGCAAGCTGTTCTAACATTTATTTGTATTTCTTGACATCAAAAATTACCATTGCTTTACAGCAGAAAATCATTTCTTGATGTCGAGAAATAGGAATAAATGTTAATAAATACACAGCAATACGCATAAGTGTGACTCAGGCATTATTCTAAACTGTCAATACTTACATCACATATTGTTATGTTATCAAATAATAATAATAATAAATTTATATAGCGCAGCTTTTATACAAAATATATTCAGCTATGCTGGTTAACTGGTAAAACAAAACAAAAACAATTTTTTTCCTTTTTTTCCCTTAAACTATTCTGTGTAGCCTTATTGACAAGAACCAGGGCACTGAAAGCCTTGGAAATACCCCTATATGTGAAAAAAATGAATATTTATAACCGGAAGTAGAATTATTGCAAACCGGAAGTCGAAAATTTTGAATAACATTTTTTATTTAAGCCCAAATATAAGGACCCAAAACTCATGAAAAATACCTAAAAGTGTTTGAGAAAACTAAGGAAATGATAGCGCCATCTGTTGGTAGGGTACATATAGGCATATTTCTCACACAGGCCCTATATGTGGATCTACTTTGAGCACAAAGTGAATGTAGATATTCGCGACCCTTTTTATTGTCAAAATCTGGATAATGAGCCTTCTTGTTCTTATATTTTCTTAATTATGGTATCTTTACACGCAAATTACAGAAAAACTCATTTTTGGCATATAATTTGTAATAACTTTTGATTTAATCACTCAATTCGGATGAAATTCGGACAGTGCGTGCTGAATGTCATTTTCTTAAAAATAATGATGGCTTTTAGTGATAAGGGTAGCCATACCTACGTTATTGAAGAAAAATGAAGTGAAATCTGCTAATTAGCATAATTAACTAATTAATGAACCTGAGACATAATATCACAAAATTCACTCATTACATTATAGAGAAACCCTTTTTACATATATGTGTCATATTTTATATAAAAAGAATGATAAATGGCAGAGTAGATAGAATTTGAATTTTGCTCTTTGTTTTTCATTGGTTTTTTAATTTCTGTCTAATTATGCAAATTGTCATGCATGTAAACAGATGCAAAACTGCCAAAACTGATGTAAATCAAAGTTTACAATATATCTTTCAAGAAAAAATTCATATTTGGTTTGAACTTGATTATATTCATGTATAAATTGCCTCTTCAATGCAACTATGTAGTTTTCACTCTGTTTTACCAGTACTACACCCTTAACCCTTACTGTACTGGGGGGGGGGGGGGCCTGGGAGGCCCCCCCTCAACATTTTCGGAGATTGCGCCGCAACCGCTTGAAATTTTGAATTGTCGTTTCATGACTTTTTTCCCTCAAGTCTTACGCACGTTTTGATACCATTTTCGTCGCAATCGGATATACCTGTGAGGTGTTACATAACAATTAGTATGCGCATGTCATCAAAAATATGCTATAATTGCATATATTCATGTACAAGCAGAAATGTGAATACAGGTTTAGATGTATTCCTTCCTAAGTGGGTGATATGAATTGATATCGAATTGCTTTTATGTGTTTCTCAAAGTAACTTGATGTATTTCAGAACAAAAGAATACATAAGAAATAAAAACAATAGATACATGTATAATAAGAAATTAAAAAAACAATAAAATACATAAGAAAATAATTATTTGAAAATCGCATCAAATTTGCATAAATTATCATTATTAATTACATCCAAATAAATATTTTGTGTTAGAAAAGAAGTTTCATATGAATAATGAGTTTCAACGTTCAAAAAGTGAAGTTTGACACGTTTTCTGTAAAATGCAAAAAATTAGCATTTTGCATAATTAATTAGGCTATAACGACAAAAATTTGCATATTCGCAAAAAACTAATTACACCATCTTGTTCGTTACGTAAATATCTACAAACATGCAAATTTTCGTGTTCATCGGACATCGGACGGCCGAGATCATAGGGGGGGGGCCTCCCAGGCCCCCCCCCCCCCAGTCAGGAGGTGCTCAAAATAGCCCAGTACAGTAAGGGTTAAGAGCTCCTTCTTCTTTTTTTTTTACTAAATCCATGGATAATAACAAATCAAATACACACAATGATTCATATGCAGAGCATTTTTGCTTGTTTTATTTCATTCACAGAAACGAGGAAAATGACTCGATGAGATGTTCCGCATACCTTCATAATATTTACAATATCAGAAACTTGCATTAAATTCTACAATAAATGCAACAATGCTAGTATTCACCAAGAAAAAAAAAACATTTAGGAAGGAGACAGAAATAGAAATGACAATATATTACTGTTATACTTTTTTCATTTACAAAATATCACAATATTCACAAAATTATTATTCTCTTACTCCCGCTCTCCAATTTTAGAATGACATTGCCAGTCTGTGGATCCACACAAAGGCATGAGCACATCATATACATTCAAACATCAAAACCCATATTCCATATATTCCAATTAGCAATAAAAAGTAATTCATTAGTACTATAAAAACCATCCATGTCCATCACCTAATTAATTTAAGATGCCAAGAAAATTGATCAAACCTTGAGCCTTATTAATACCAAAATATAAAATTTCATTCGAAATTAACCCTGTCATAACGCTCCCACAAAAGAAACTTTTATACATAGAAACCTCATTAGTCCTTCTAGTTTAAGAGCTATAATATAAATAATCATAATTTATATATTTAAATATCTAAGATTCATCATTCTAAATTTCAAGAAGCAAACACTTTGGTTCAATCATCTATAACAGAATCATGATTACCACAGTATTTTGGCTTTCTGATCATTCCCCTCAATCTCTATATCAGCTAAAGAGATAAATCTGTGTATATGTACTTGCAGAAAGCCATTGGAATTGTGAATTTGTCAAAAATTTGAATACATGGTACATGTAGAAACATCGTAAAGGATGGGGAGATGGTGCACATAAGGAGTGTGTCTTTGAAATTCAGTTACCATGATTACCTGCAAACATAGTTTTTTTTTAAATTAAATACAGAGAAATATAGTTGGTATTCCCACCTCTGATATGCAGCAAGGAGACTACAGTGCATTGAAAACGGTCAGGCGGTTCAGTGAGTAAAAGGAGGGGCAGTTTTGGGCGGTTTAGTCCCGTAAGTGTTAACTTACGTGCATAGACTTCAACCCTCAAAGATAATCAGATAAAGCTATGGATTTGGTATTTCAAATAGAAATTAATTGTATTTCATTATCTCTTGATACTTTTGTAAGAATGATATTATAAATCTAATTTCAATTGACAGGAAAGAGTTCATTGAGGCTTTCTAAATCAAGGTAACTAATTTTTCATCCACAAATAAAATTTAGAAATAAACAAATCGCACTACAAAAATAACAAGATGACATACATGTAGACAAGATTTAACCTATTCCAAACATAACAGCATACCAACCAAAAGAAAAAAACATAAACTTTTTTTATCTGCCACACATTTCCAATTTAAAACCAATCATCCCCATGTATGACCATTATGTACCAACATTTAAGCATTTGATGTGTACACATTTTATAAGGAATATAAAAGGAAATAGTGTATTGAACATTCAAAAAATATGACAAGGAGGGATTTATTTCAAGATGATATAAAGAATTAAATACCAACACCTGCAGCAAAAAAGAATGTTTATTTTTGAAAAAATTTATAATCAATGATGTAATTGATTGAAGTGTAAAAAAGATCTACCTACTGACGTACATGTACATCAAATGTTTAAAAGCCACTGGATAACTTACGAGAAGACTGTGACTGGATTTTGGGAAATAGCAACAGGTTCCACATTGGTAGATGACTCTCAAAAATCAAAATTACTGTATAAGCAATTATTTTTTTGCAAATTTCGCGAATCACTCATTGATTGCAAATTTGAAGATGAAGGTGAGTTATGGTCATGCGATTGCATTGTGAAAGAAACGTTGTTGAGTCGACCAGAAAAAGGTTGATCATCTAGCATATAAGTATTGGGATGTACTGCAAGGTTCTAGAATCATCAAAATGATAAGAAATTTGGCCCAGTCTTGGTAAAGTTACACGCACTGTACACAGAAAGATGTATATGGGACTACGCGACATGTGAGCAATACGTGCACAATATCTATCAGGTCCAAATAGATATAATAATTTACCAAATATATCAATTAGTAGGCGGTTTCTCAGCAAAATTTGTATCACCACGTATTAGTCAAAGCATATTCTTTCACATGATTGGTAATAAGAGCTTCAATTTCAATTTTTGAGAGGGGGGCGTTTCCAAAACTGATCTTTACCTTTAACTACAAAACATATTACAATTTAGGCCTTTAATCAAGAAATTTCATCTCTGTAATTGCATTACTGATCCTTTTACAATTTCTTTCAAAATGCAGCCAAAGGCGGTTCATGACGTGCCCGTTAGCCTAAAGGACACTTAAAACTCTTCCAGACATCATTCAAACAAGGAAATGTATCCAGTTAATCATTAAAAGGTTTTTATCCCTACTTGATTTTTTCCTATCATTACTTTGGAACACATGCTTTTTGAAAAAATGCATCACAAATTTCATGAAAATACAACAGCCCCGTGTCCAGAATGCTTATCTACCAACAAGAACTATAAATACCTATCTTGTTACCTTATTAGACATGATACACATAGATTAGAAGGACCTATACAATCATTATGACAGAAAGCTCCGCAGCCTTTACACATAACCATAGCCTTGAGACGACAGGTGCATTTACCTGCCAGACTGGAGCTGCCGTCTGGACTATCCTTGCCACCAGAGGGCAGTATACTGCTCTTACTTGTGGTCGGGCCAGACATGACAACGGAGCTCTGACAGGAGCAGACGGTGTTCTGCACCGTTGAGTTGTTGTTGGAGAGGGGGACCACTTTAGCGACCGTAGGCTGACTGTGCGTTGAGAGGGAGTCCTTGCCCGGGAGCTGAACGGTGGTGGATGTGTGCATCGCACCATTAGCTATACTTACTCTCCCATGAACTAAATTGACTGTTCTGTTTTCAGTGCTTGCAGAGGATATTTGCGCCACCTTCCCAGGAGTAGGAACTGAGCTCTGATTCCCTCGCGAGGCATTGGATGACCCACTGGTGACGGTACTGGGCGGAGTTACACTAGCTACAGCTTTGCTAGAAGGTAGCGTTATATATGTCACTGTTTTTGAATTATTGCCTACTTTACTTGAAACCAATGTCGCTACAGAGTTTGTGGTTTTTAGACTCGACTGCTGACTATTCCCTTGCACTACTCTTGAAGCATTGCCGGGTAGTAGACTCATGTTTGACTGTGAGACTAGCACAACACTCAATCCAGGCTGTGTCTTGATGATAATAGGTTTGACCGTCTGTATCACGGGTTGGCCGGGGGTGGAGTTTGAAACTGTGACGGTCAAGACTTTATTTGGAGAGCCACTTTTAGATTGTCCTTGTAACCCTTCTATGTGCATCCTGGCACCAACACCTCCTGTTACGGATGTAGCATTGCTTGGCACAATGGATTTAAGATTCATCCAGTTGTGCGATGTAGCACGAGGTCGACCTAAAATGGCTGGTGAGTGTACTGAAGGTCTTGCAGCACCTTGTGCATTACCAGGCACCAACCTTGCATGTACCTTGGCTGAAGTTTGTGCTTTGATATGCGCCAATGTCCGTGTCTGTCCTTGATGGGCCTTGACGGCCATCTGAGCTTTTATCTGCGCGAGCGTTCTTGTTTGAGACTGGACCGGTTTGAGTTGTGCCTGGCTCTTAATCTGAGCCAGAGTCCTGGTCTTGGACGAGCCGCTCGGCGAAGCATCAGAGTCGACTCTCTGTCTCTTTTCGGGCGACTCCTCTGAATCTGATGGACGCTTGACAGACAGATCAGGTGGTATCAGCTGACCAGATCTCTTGACCTCACCGACCTTAGGTCCTCCGGCTGCAGCCTGCTGACGCTGACTTGCAGCGGCCATCGTCGACAGCAAGGTACTGCATGAATACTGAGCAGGACTTGCAGTAGCAATACTTGTTGTAGTCAATGTGGATGATTTTGCTTTCTGCGATGACGAACTGCTACCACTTATCACACTACTGCTACTACTGCTTGAACTCCTCTCTTTACCGATAGTCTTTGACAATTTCTTGAGGATAGACACTCCTCCTGCGACGCCGTCTTTGGGTACGGAGATCTTAAGGATGATCTTTGCTTGTGGTTCTTGTACTCTGTGATTAACAATGTGCTTCTGAGGCTTGGTCGGTGCAGATTTTGTCGAGCTTGACACGGACGCTGACGCTGTCGACGAAACTGACGTTGAAGAGGACGAGGCTTTGTGTATCTTTGGTGGTGTTTTGGCAGACTTTGTAGGACTGGAATAATTGGACTGAAGTTCAGGTACAGATGATTGGCCCCACACTGGTTCAAAGTGCTTAGTCTAGAAAATAAAAAATAAAGAAATAAAATATTGGGTAATTCAATATATCATCAATACTCCAACCTCAAGGGGCAGTAGTACATGTATGTGACTCTACCATTTAATTTGAGAATCATAACTTCCTTAGAGACCTTTAAATCCAAGCTGAAATTTCATCTTTTTTAACAAGACCTGTAATTGGCACCCATCCAAACTCTCTTATTCTTTCTATTTTTCTTGTGCGCCTCGGAATTGGTTTGTCTAGATAGACGGTGTGATATAAATGCCTATTGTTATTATTACTGTGGTATGAGGGTGGTAATGGTACATGTACATGATATAAGCAAGCTTAATTCTAACACAATGCATACCTGGCTAACCTTTAAGAGCTAATAATAGAAATCTCTCAAGGCAAAATAGGAAGTGGTCTATCTTGTATACTTTTCACACAGAATCTGTCAGGAAAAAAAGGAATCTAGGGTTCAAAATAATAGATTGAAGGCCGAAAATAAGAAACATTCCTCCAAAATAGGAAAGGTTGGCAGCTATAACAATATACAGTAGGCTTGCACAGTGTGAGAGAGGGGGAGGATTGGGGAGACCTGGAAAGGACTCTCTGTAATTTTCTTTCTTGAGTGTGTGTAGTCCTGAAAAAGACTGTTGGCTATCTTTCTTAGCATATAGTTCTAAGGAGAATTTTAGCGCCGATTGGAGAGGATGGGTAGTAGGAGTGGCTCGACGTATCGAACAGGTTGACTATCCATCGTCAGCTATTCCCCACTCCTGACGACGGATAGTCAACCTGTTCAAAACGTTGAGCCACTCCTACTACCTCTCCAACAGGTTGTATAATTATCCCATATTGGGGGGGGGGGAAGGGTAGTGGGGAATCCATATCTTTCCCTTGGGCGGTCGCTATAGACAGGTTTGACTGTACTATCTTTCACCATTCAGTAATAGTTGGGTCAAGGAGAAGCCTTTGATACTAACCTTCCAAGGATCTACCTTGGCCCTCTCCTTGTCCAGTTCAGCTTTTAGTTTGGTTTGAGACTCAGGTGTGAACTCCCCGCTGGCTAGACGCTCACGCCACTTTGTACAGGCCCGGGCAAAGAATTCATTGTCCAATGCTGAAGCTCCCAATCTAACAAAATCAAAATCAGTTTAGAATTATTCAGTTTATCGTCTGCATAAAAAAGGGGCATAAAAAATGATGAGTTCAGTTCAAATACAATGGCACAAATTCACAAACGAGGTTTGTCGACAAAATTAGGTTTATGTGCGTCATATGACGCACATAAACCTAGATTTGTTGACAAATCTCCTTTGTGAATTCGGGCCTACAGGTCTAAAGAAGCAAAACAAAACATGAGAAAATAAACAAAAAGCTAATCGTCACGTTAAAGTTCAGAAAAACATTAACATTAAATCAGAAGAAACTAATACTCGATGCTTTAAGCCTACACATACCTTATATCAGCAAAATAATTTTGGTAGAAAAAAAAATGGCCATTTGTAATGAAAAGAGACAGATGAGGAATTCAAGTTGGCAGTCCAGACCATGTCTACTGTTCATTGACTGGGATTCCCAGCAATTTTTGTAATATATTTTTTTTCATATTTTGCTTACAGATGCAACTTTTCCCTGCATGATGAACACATACAGAATTACTTCAAGGCTGATCACCTAGTAATGCAATGCACTCGCCATAACTCAGCTTAAACTGTTATTTGATCAACAGACCCCCACTCCAGGGACCCGTTTCACAAAGCCTTTTTTCAATGACAAAAATCAGTGACGAACCTACTGATAACCAATCAGAAGCAAGGATTTCAGTAGCTTATAACAAAGACTTTCATTTGTCACTGATGACAAGTTTTGTGAAATGGTTCCCTGGTGTTGCCAATTGGAACTTACCTTAGACAATTATCAGGTCCTTTATGTCTGTCATTGGTAGCGAGCATCTTTAAGAGTTTATGTTGATGATGAGGGGGAAGGCTAGCAAATGTGTGCTTGTTTATCAGATTCTGAAAAGGGTAAGAAGTGATAAATAAAAACAACTATACTTTCTACAGGTTTGTATGAAATCTATACATGTATATATATTTTTTCCTTTTACAGGTAGATACAAGGTCACAACTAGAATGTAACATTGCTTCATAAAAGCACATAGTATTCATATGTACTTGGTGGGGAAGGAGTCTAGACCTCGTAAGATTATGTCTGAGAGATACCGGTAACATCAAGAACATCATTTGTACAAATTTAAGAGAAGGTGTAGAAATAGAGGAAAAAGAAGATTTACAACAAAAGGCAATAGTGAACATTTTTAACTTTTAAAGCCTGTTTGCACTAGTTTGGCCAGGGAGGATTAGACCACCCAGCATGATCACTGACTGGTGGTTATCTCATCAAGCCAGCTCTCAATTAACATGAGAAAAGGAGGATCATGGGAGACCAAAAGGCACAGCTTAGGCATGGTTTTCTATATAGAGGAAGCAAGTAGCTACAAGTACCGGTAGTGGAGTGGGGCTTTAATTCCTCCACTGCACAAGAAAAAAATCAAAGAACTCTAACAATGTTTGTTCAAGTGTTTACTAATACACCATTCACTGAGGAATGTATTTACATATAAAATGATATAACGTAGTGATCATTACCTTTAAATTAACATTGGCAAGAACAGAGTTGGGGGTTTCTAGGTCAACTTGTGGTTTCCTCCTAAAGTCCAGGAAAGGTGCTGCAAAACAAGAAGAAAAAAAATAAAAAGAGTTATCAAATTAGAACTTTCCATACCACATATATTGCAAAAATCCATCTACAATGCATTTACTATGAACATGACAGACAAAGAAAGCGGAAAAAATATACAGTTCCTCATTCTTCCCTCACCAATTGCTGTGGTAGACAAAGGAACATCCCTTCACTGCTATTATGTAAAAATGTGTAGAACAGGTGAATATGCATGCGACACCTGTTCTACACATTTTTACATAATAGCAGTGAAGAGATGTTCCTTTGTCTACCACAGTAATTGTTGAGGGTAGAATGAGGAACTGTATATTTTGTCCGCTTTCTTTGTCCGTCATGTTCATAGTGATTGTAGCCCTTGCACTCATTAAAATCTGCATATCACACAATTCTGGTGATGCACGCATTGTGATTTCATTTGAAAAGTGGACATGCGAGAAAACTTTTGCAGTATGCTGTAAGCAGGTTTAATTTATATTGTATCATAAACCAATGTATATGCAATAGAGAAAGAAAAAAATGAATTGCCTTGATTCCAAATTTAAACAACTTTTTTACAACATAAACTGAACAAAACTAAGCAAAATGTTGAGAGAGCCAACATAAATCCAACAAGAAAGTTTTGCACTCTGTGGAAGAGTTCTGAACTTGAAATATCATAGTACTTCAGTCTACTAAAAAAAAATTTTTTTTTGTTAATATTCTGAAATTTACTCAACTTACATGCGCCATATTTCTTGTTTTTCTTGTGTCTCCGTCTTGGCTGCAGAAGGGAGGGAAAAAAAAAAAGTATTAGCATCCAATTAATAGGCAACAAACAATGCTGCAACCGAGTAAATCACAGAAAATCAACTTATAAAAAATTAAATGAATCTGACTCTCACTTTACCAAACCAATGTTGTTACATAGAAGTGTGGTAGTCGAGTGGTTTAAGCACTTGACTTGAAATTCAAAGGTCGTGGTTCGATGGGTACCTGACAGGAATTAATTCCTTGAAATGCTAGAGCGCTGTAATGGCAGCCGTGCTAAAGCCAGGTTAATAATCGGGAGCGCCGGGAGTGTCAAGTCTGACAGACATGAGCGTTATTCAAGAACCCACTATTATTATTTTCTTTTTTTATGAAGTCTCCTGCTTCACGTCTTGAATATGCTTTTACCTGCAGCAAACTTTCTATGTAACAAGAAAGAGATAGAGAGCTTGTTTGAAAATAATAATAATAACAATAATATCAAACATTTAGTAGCGATAAAAACAATAAGTACCATAGCCCTAACAAATACAAATTTATGAAACGAGGACAAAGATGTACAGTACAGGAATTATATCACATAGATCATTGGGGGAAAAGGTGATTTTTGAGGGATCGTTTGAATGTGGCAAGACAGGTAGTTTCCCTTATGGAAAGAGGGATGCTGTTCCAAGTCTCTGATGCAGCTACTGCAAAACGTTTTTCAGCTACGATAGAAACTGACCTTTCCACTGAAGCCTGGAAGGGAGGCTAGGATTTCACTAATAGTCTGTGACCTTGGTAACATGTGAAGTCTATGATCTACATCGGGACTTGGTTTGGCACTGTCAACTTCATCTGCTTTCAAATATAAAAATAAATATGGGAAAATGAATATTCATCAGACAATCTGGCTGCAGTTATGAAAATAAGATGCACAAATGAATATTTAATCAAGACTATCTAATTTCAATCATGAAAATGAATCACACTGTCTACTTTTAATTATGAATATAAAATGCATAAATGAATATTAATCAGACTATCTGGCTTCAGTTATGTAAATTAGATGCAAAATGAATATTAATCAGACAATCTGTTATCAATCATGAAAATTAGATGCATTTTAAAAAATGAATCACACTGTCTACTTTCAATTATGAAAATTAGATGCTTTCATGAATATTCATCGCACTATCTGCTGTCATACACAAAAATAAGATGCGTAACATGTTAATCAGCCTATCTCATACCACGATGCATTATTGCTGGACTTTGGAAACTACATGTAATGCAAGGACTTTGAAAAAATCTGGTATAGGGCTAATTTACAATGTTACTTGTATTGACAACAAAAATAATGTTTGCATTACTTTAGAGGTGACTGAAAGCATCACATGTTTCAAGACATAATCCTAGAATTGATTTCTTCAAAGTCTGTGCAATTGTTTTTCGGATCCTTTATTTTAAGTTAGAATGCTAAACAAATGATACAGCAAGCATGAATGAAAATGAAAAGAATGTGTCAATTTGAGTCAAATTTGAGTTTTTTAAAGGAAATATTGATTTATTTAAAAAAATCAAATCTTCAATTTGGGATAAAATGAAAAACAAATCCTTATTCCTCAAAAATGCAATATATATCTTACGAGATTTAATGCAAATGGTATTATATTTAGATGATGGTACATGTATACCATAAAGGTAGATTTTGAATATATTAATGCTGCAAATATGTTTTTTAGTGATGGATTAGTCCGTAACAATGATTAGTGATATATGATAGGCAAGTCTCAAAATACATAAAAAGTTTAAAAACAACTGGTTTTTATCCCTGGTATTACAAAAATTCAGGTAGCACCCAGGGGTTTTCTCCGGGAACAATGATGTTCAGTGTATACTGTGTACAATGAGCTCTTTTTCACAAGATTATAAGATCTGTTCATGGGGATCCTGTCCTGATATACAATTTGTTTTAATAGAAGGAGAAAAATGAGAGGAAGAGGCAAGTGAAAGTATGAGCAAATTGCGATTTAAAATAAGAACATTTTGAATTTTTAAAGTTGCAATCAATCAAACATGAAGTGGCAACTCTGTGACGTATCTTGCATGCTCTCTTCCCATGTGCTCATGAAATTTCATGTACAGAGCAAATTGTAGAAGAGCTTTCGGGATATGTCAGTGTTGCCAATTTGTATTTGATCGATCACAACTTCAATAAGTCATAAATTTTGTACTTTTAATCAGAATTTGCTCAATTTTTCACTGTCTTTTCTTCTCATTGTTCTGCTTCTATTAAAACCAACTTAATATCAGGGTGGAATTCCCCTTTAATGATGAAAATACATTCTCAGGCAAAACCTGTTGTATTAAGACCACCTGTCTTCCGTAGCAACTCATTGCTCACTCTAATAAGCAGGACATATCTATCCCACTCCCCCCTCCCCCCTCCCCCTCCCACCCCCCTCCCTTACAAAACAAAATGCAGATGGATGATACATGCAGATGATAATTATCACTCAAAGCAGAGACAAAATCAAAAGTTCTGGAGATGTTAGTGAATACATTTTGATGAGAAACACATTAAGTTGACACTAAATTTCAAAAATACAACCAAATTATACCTGACAAGCCAAAGTAATATTTTTTTTTTTAATAATAAATTTAAATTTACAATCTCAAAAACAAATGTCTAAATGAAATAAGTACCCGGTACCTCATAAAAGAAAAAGCAAATTTGTTTCAGTTGTACATGAATAGCACGTATAGCAGCTGTTTTTCGAAAACAGTCATATTTTGCTAATGTAAATTTACACATATTACAGTATGATCCTAAACAAAAGATATATATTTATGTATGAAAGTGGCCGTCAATTAAATTTCAAACCACCCTGTAACCAAATAAGTTAAATATCTGCAATAAATGCTATTCATGTACAACTGAAACAAAAGTCCTTTTTCTTTTATGAGGTTGTTTCGTTGTTATTTTGACTTTATCCAACAAAGTAGCATGTGGAGGGCTAAATATTTATTTTTGTATTTGTTTAACCACGAATGAATGAAAAGCATTAATATCAGCATCGCCTGCACTCATGATTATCTCCTAGCCTGACTCTCCCATTGACACAGTGTAAGATGCTGGCATCGTATAAGCGATAGCTTGTGCCATGATATCTGACAGATTTATGAATTTTTTTTTGTATTTCTTTAAATGTTTCAACTCCGTTATGAAATAAACCAAATGGTTGTTAAAGATGGCATTTTTTGATAAAGTAGATTTGCTTACTGTTGTCACTTTGGGAAGGAACATGTAGAAAATAACTCCCTACAAACAAGAATGAAATCACAGAAAGCATAACAATCATAGTGTCGTTAAGTGTTCATAACTGGATTTCACTACGATGGTGTATGCTTTAACGAGGGCTCCACACTTACTTTTTATCAGACCTCCAAAGTGGAATTCTGCAGGGTCTGGATGTATGAGCCCTAAACTGGGCTCGCAGCAGGGGAACTTTTTTATATTGGTTGCCTGTTTGGCAATTAATCATTAAGATTTTCAATTCAACTTTGTTTATTTACTGTAAATAGTGTAAAATTCACATGATACGAACTACCTAGTTTATTAGATACTTCAGTCACCAGCCAGGCCAATGCAGGGCGATTCTATGGAATTGGTTCCTACATTTATCATTCAAAATAAAAATTGAAAAATAGATTTTTGCGGTCCATGGATATGAAACATCCTAGTTACACATAGCATAACATGGGATTGCAGAATTGAGACAAATTAACTGTTTGATTGCCCAACCTATTTAATTCTATGTGGTAAATAGCACGAAGGCAATCATAAGCCTTATTCCTAAGCTACAGTACTTACCGTCAGCTTTATCAGGTGGTTTCAATGGTTTAAGTATGATGCGTGGTATAATGGTTTGCTTCCGTCTATGTCTATGTGATGATGATGATGATGGGGGACTATGAACACGGAACATCTGCTGTCCGGTCTCTTCCTCCTTCTCCTCTTTCCTCTCAGTCTTTAACCTGGAGTCTGCTCTGCCGTTGGTCGTACTGCTGCTACCACTACCCAGGTCAAAGCCACCCTCTCGCTTGAAACGCTCGCAGGATGGGATGGCGAAGTGAGCCCTCTCTGGGAGAACACACACAGCTGCAAGAAAGGAATGCATTTACCATCAAATAAACGTATAAACACATTTTAAGTTTATACCAAGACATATGATCTATCAAGGTACAGGTGTATCTTCTCCTAACTCAGAAGTTTGTAGGAACATTTTCCACGTCTCTGTTTTCTGCCATTCTAGTACACTCTTAAAGCCCCACTGCACTACGTATAGCTACATGCGCCCTCTATATATCAAACAATTCCTAATCGGTCCCCGATGATCCTCTTTTTCTTATGTTAATTTAGAGCTGAGTTGATGAGATAACCACCTGTCCAGTGACCTTGCAGGGTGATATAATCCCTCCTGTACACAAGTACAGATGGGCTTTAAGACATATTCTATCTATCAAGGTATTTTCTCCTACATGTAGCTCAGAGGTTTGTACATGTAGCTACATTTTCCACACATCTCTGTTATCTGTCACTCCAGTACACTCTTACAGGGTCATTCCACTCCTGGGTGGTGTTTCACAAAAGACTAAGATTGACTTTAACTTGGACTTAACTATGGTAGGTCATTCATGCCACTGATTGCTCTCATCGTTGTGATCTGTTGATAATAAATGTTAATTCTGTAGATTGTGACCATGATTAGTACGTATCTTGAGAACCCAATGCCAGTGAATGCTGAGAGCAAACAGTGGCATGAATGGCCTGACATAGTTAAGTCCAACTTCAAGTCGATCTTAGTCTTTGTGAGACACCCCCGGTTCTTGCGTTCACCTCCTAGTAACAGTAGTCTTGATTTTCCTATTTCTACTAAGACATATGACTATTTGTTAAGGTAGTTTTCATCTATTTCATGCATTTTGTGCATTGTCGAGATTCAATTTTTAATGCCAGTTTTCAAATTTACATGTCAGTTTTGTTATTGCTATTATTGTTATTATTATTATTATTGTTGTATTTTCTTTCTTTCCTCGAATGTATGTATATATTGTTTATGTTGCTTGTATATGTATGTCACTCACCAGTGGAGGACAAATTTCCGTATTTTTTTAAATCAGACCATCAATTATCTTGAATTAAATCTTGAATCTTGAATATGACATTTTGATACAAAGGCAAAAACCACAAACCAGGATGACACCCTTTGAACATAAGGAAAACAAAACATGTCCTAATCCTATAACATGATTTTGTAGACCAAATGGATATTCAACAGGATATACCACCACTGACAAAATGTTACTACCCACCAGTATAAAGCATTAACTATTAATTTTACAACTAATTACTTTCAGTTTCTTAGTAGTCTTTTGAGTTATTGCAATGATGGAATTCCCACAGGATAAAGAACCCATAGAGGACAAGACATTTAATACAGTTAACCCACAAGATATGGTTTGATTCGGTATTAAGACACACATCTTCCATGGACTCTATCCAGAGTAATTCAAGAAGCGATGATTACTTACGTCTTTTCTTGATAGGTACATAAGGTTTCTCAGATCCATCAGCGTTGGTATCATCAGATGTCTGAGTATTGAAGACATCTGTTCCGTCTTCAGTTTGCATCTCTAACATGGCTGCAGCTTCCTTAGGCAAATCAGTCTGAAGTAAAGTGATAATAACAAAAATATTTCCTGTTCAGAAGCTAAATAGTTACAATTACAGTCAGTATTATTCATTGATTGGCTTTTCAATTCAATTAAATTCAAAGTTTTTTTTCTTACACTCTTCATAAAAACATTTAAAACATACAAAAATTCAGAATAGATTGATAACGCAAAAAAACTAGTTGGAACTTAGAGGCTGTTCACACCGCAATGAGATAGCGCGGTCTATCGTAGCACCCCCTTTTTTCTAGCGCGTGCTAGACCGCGCTCTCTCTCATGGACCACCCTCAAGAGGTGCTCTAGTGGCACGCCGTTTTGGCTCGCCGTGGCTCGCTGTTGGGTGGACCGAAACGACGTTGTACCTCCCACACCGCAGAGATAGCGCAGTCTAGCGCGCGCTATCTCTGCCGGTGTGAACAGCCTCCTTGATTGCACGCATGGAGGAGAGGGTTCTTTCAGTAGGCCTTTGGACCTCGTCCCTGGGTTCATACAATCAACCATGTAAGATTCAGTGTTCTCAACCAAAGAATTCTTCCTATCAGGTAATAATAATAATAATAATATTGGATTCTTATATAGCGCACGTATCGACCTTGCAAGGTCCTCAAGGCGCTCCAACATTACCCGGCTATGCTAGGCTGCTGATTTCGACGCTCACAGCATTTTAAGGAATTCCTTCCTACCGGTACCCATTTAACACCTGAGTGGAGAGTAGCAAATGTAGATCAATGTCTTGCCAAAGGACATTAGTGCCACATGCCGCAGGTAGTGGCATGACACAGATGAAAATGTACGTACATGTACGTTAAACAATAATTACATGTATACCCTCAGTGATATTACTGAAATAGCAAGAAAACCTCAGTCTCTCTCAGAGTTATAAACTTCACAAATCTAATGACTGCGGGTTATTCACAAAAGCAACAACTATTGCAAACGTCTTTGGGCCTATAATTCACAAAAATGCCACAGTACACCTCAGGGTCTACGTCCAACTGATGGCAGCACATCGCTGTCCACGTTTTTAACAGCACATCACTGTATATGTATATATTTTGCACCTGGATTGATGCCCAGTTGCCTACACACATATTGGACATGGTACACACTGCAGTGCGTAATCTTTCTTGCATAAAGTAGCACGTAATGAGGAATAAGAAGAAATATTTCTACTTTGAGATGCAATATGAAAATATGTTCTTTTGACTCACCTTTAACCCATAGACTCCCATCAAGCCTCCCACCTTGTAGAATGCACTGTCCTTTCCTCTGGATCCTGAGTGCAGCATGGCATTCAGGCAGGCAAGGGGCTGTGTACCACTGCAAATCAATCACAAGGAAGGAAGAACAAAGTTTATTCATAAAGTCTTCTTCCAAAGCTACATACATGTACATGTTATACTGGCACAACAACATGTACTGTACAAGTAAATAGTTTAGTAGCTACATGTATTTCTATGGTATTGCATGTATAAACAAATGTTTTCATATCGCCATGATCGTACATGTTTATTGTAGAAAAGGATGCAGAAACATTTAACAAGCAGGGGTAAACGACAGTACCGGTAACCTTTCTTTCAATGGTGTGTGCTCAGTGTGGAGCAAAAATATTTAGGCCAGGAACCTTATACAACAGCCAATGCTCACATCCTAATACTTACAGGATCTTGAGTGAAATTGGGAGGGGGGTGGACTGGAACCCTGAGATCAAGTGTATCACTGTTATGGGAGCTCTTATTAGATTGTCTAGTATTACTAGAATGTATTCATTATTCTTGATCAGCACACAGCTAGTCTAACACAAGGTCCATAGTACACATGTACAGTACATGTGCATGTATTTATAATTATAATGAGATTTCATTACAGTGATATCATGTACTGTACATGTACATGTACAGAGTACTTTAAATTTATTTGATTCTTCTCTGAGTTCCATTGTTCACTGCACTCTACAGTATATTATTCAGTACTAGTGTAGCACCTTCATGTCAAGTAACCAACCAATCAACTACATGTAAAGGGTATTGCATTACCAAAAAATTCAACATGAATAATTGCAGAAGTAAAATATGCATGTGGAGGTGTCCAACATTTACAGTGAAATATTTATATACAACGTAATTTGCACTTTAAATGTCAACAGCTAAATCTACTACAGTCTACAGTATTAAAAAACACATTTCAACAGTCATTCACTATCAAATAGGAAAACTGGGGAAGCCCCTAAATCATCACATGGGAGATACACTCTACAGACTATTGAAACATCATTTTTATTTACATGTACAATGTAACATCCTTATAAACATATTCACATCGAGATGTTTTTTTTCTTCAGTACATGCAAAATAAACAATTTCTTACCTTCTTTTAAGCAGAAGCAGAAGCACATAGAAGAAATGGCGGGGGATAAAAACAAAGAAAACAACATTGCTTCGGTGATGCATTTACATGTACAGGCGTATTGCATTTTTAAAGTGCTAGACAAAGGTGCTGACAAATACTTCACTGTTTTCACACAAACAAATGTAAATATGTAATCTCAACAATTAGAGCTCTTAAAGAGAAGGTTGAGTTCTGGGAAGAGGTGAAAAATAATTTGTGAGCATTACTCATTCTTATTATGCAAGTGTGGAAGAACATCAGTTAACCCTAATAAGGCCGGGGGGGGCCATTATGGCCCCCCCCCCCCCTCCACAATTTTTTCGATTGCTCGGGAACGCATATGGATGGCGCCCCGCCGCTCGCTGACTTTTTTCTTTCGAGTATTGCGCAACTTTTAAAATAATTTTTTTGAAAATCGGACCTACGGTTACAAGGTCACGTGACCTTTTGTCTTCGCATGTCAGCCTGAAAATCGCTCATTTTCGTGATTTGTGTACAAAACGTATGGCAAAGTCATTTTTCCTAAAAGCAGATCAAACATGGGTTATTGGGTCTTGTTTAAAGCTTAGGTGGTTGTTTTGGGAGTCAAAATAGTTGAATTGTAGTAAAAGATAAAATAAAACAACAAAAACAATGAAATACATAAGTTAAAAAAACAATGAAATACATAAGAAATTATCAAAACAAGGGATAACATAAGAAATAAGCTGGCTCTTCCAATTTTTTTGTCTTATTATTATTCAGAATGGTCTAATGAATATATCTAGTGAAAAAGAATGCTTAAATATGAATAATATATGATTTATTGGTAAAAATGTGATTTTTATGACTTTATTTGCATAAATTACCATAAATATGCAAATGAGTGAATTTTTCAAAAAATTGAAATGATCATATTATTCTTTACACTTTACTTGACATGCGTGCAAATTTTCGCGGCGATCGGCCGCTTCGCGGCCGAGATCTTGAGGGGGGGCCATAATGGCCCCCCCCCGGCCCTACTAAGACTTCAAATAGCCCGGCCTTATTAGGGTTAAGACATGTTCCCTGAAAAGCATAGCTCTTCAAATGCCTTCATATTCTAAATATGCATGTAACATCGTAAAAATCGGGGGGGGGGGCGGCTTTTTACGCCACGTGTAAGTGTAGTCCCATATACATCTTTCTGTGCAAGTGTTTGTAACTTTACCAAGACTTGGCCAAATTTCTTATCATTTTGATGATTCCAGAACCTTGCAATACACACAAATTCTTATATGCTAGATGATCAACCTTTTCTGGTCGGTTCCACACCGTTTCTTTCACAATGCAATCACATGACCAGAACTCAACTTCATCTTTAAAATAATTTTTGTGTAGTAGTATTGAAGATTAAATTACAGGTACTTTTTCCTCACAGATGTCCCACAAAAATTTTCCAATACATGTACAGTGTACATGTACAGTTAGGTTGTAGACAATGTCTACAATGTACTTTCCGTTGTTTCACATTGTGTAGGTCTCCTGACTACCTGAAATGCTCTTTATGTAAATTTATTAACATCTGTTACCGCATAGCAGATTTTTAACATATTGTGACAATATACCGTAACCAATAGATTCAATCTTAAACAGCCATGTATACATGTGATAGACAAGTGCAGTGCCAAATTCTTATTTTTACCGAGCCATGATCAATGGCTACTGGTACTCAGATACAAGACAAGACACAATGTTTCGAAAAGTGAAGCACTACACTGTAAATGCAAGCCACAATGCATACTAGTAACTTTTCTATAGAATGCACAAATGTGACAAGAAAATCATTTCTACAATGCATGTTATAGTACAAGTCTTAACAATGTACACATATTTGAACATCTTGGGAATCCCCTTCATACATGAATGTGTACATGTACATGTAGTTTCTTTTTCTTAACTGTTTTTGGCAAATATGCAGCTGCCAAAGCAAGCAAGGGATTTACTGGAAGAGGGGTATATAACAACAAAGGTGAAGTGCATGTCAGTGACAACTAGGACAACTACATGTACATGTAGTGGGAGCAACATCAATCATTCTTTTAAAAATATAGATCTATATGACAGCCAAGCTTAAGTAGACATTCAAGTTTGTCATGCTTGATGTGTGTGGATATTGCCCTGCATCATCAGATAAAGGTCCAGAGTGATCTGAATGATAAGTTGTAAACCGACTAAAAATCCTTTTTCATTAAACTAATACAAAATTTGGCAACATGAATAAAAGTTGAATATCAATTATTTTTCCATACAAAATAGCAGTTTTTTATTTCCAACTATATCTTCTGTCCAAGGTCCATTTCAAGAGACTTCGGTTGTAAGCGCTTTATAAGCACCGTTTTCATTATTATTATTATTAATACCGGTATGCGTTTTTCATTTGAAAGACTTCAACAAAATGAAAACAAAAGTGTTGCCAATTTGAGAAGACAAATCATTAAATTTAGACATTCAAAAATCATTTCCTGATATGGGCTGACATGTAAGACATGGGCGTGCGTGTAGAAGCAAAACGAGTGATCACTGATGTTTGATGATTGACTGAATAACTTACTTGATGTCTTTGAGTGTGTATTCCTGGATATCACGAAGGATCTCCTTGTAACTCATGGGAGTCTTGGGATGCTTCTCTAGAACCTGAAAAAAAGGTCATTGATGAAAACGATCATTATCATTATCATCATCATCATCAACGTCATCATCATCATCATCATCTTCACCATCACCATCATTATCCTCATCACCATCACCATCATCATCATCATCACCATCATCATCACCATCATCATCACTATCATCATCATCATCATCATCAACATCATCACCATCATTATCCTCAACACCATCACCATCACCACCACCATCATCATCACCATCACCATCACCATCACCATCACCATCACCATCATCATCATCATCATCATCATCACCATCATCATCATCATCATCATCAACATCATCACCATCATTATCCTCAACACCATCACCATCACCACCACCATCATCATCACCATCATTATCCTCAACACCATCACCATCACCATCACCATCATCACGATCACCACCACCATCATCATCACCATCATTATCCTCCTCAATAACAATAACAAAAAATGACATCATAATGTACTAAGAACTAAGTAAAGAAGGGTACTTTTGCCAAGTTTTGGAGAGCACCAAATTCAGAAAACTCTCCTTCTTCTTCCTTCTTCCTTTTAGAGTACATACCTCTTTACAGAGTATTATCGTACTATACAGGGGGTGTGCAGGTGGACCACTACACCGGGGTTTCCCCTACTCTTATACGAATATAGACAGCAATAACCATCTGATTTGGGTCATTTCTTTAATAAAACTGACATTTATTGTCATTCCCCAATACAGATGGCAACCCAGAGATCTCGTACCGTGGGGGTAGCTATAGCCAACAATGGCAGCTTTTTCTGTCAAAACATTTTCTCCCCGATTTTCTTTATTTAGATCTAATTTTCTGATTTCTAAATCAGATGTAAATTAGGTCGGTATGTCATTTGTCCTAATTACAGTTATCAAAATTTGATAACTTAATATTAAATACATAATTTACGGACTTACTTATATGAATTATCCAATTTGTATCTCAGATCCGCAAAGCAGTACGTTCATGCATTCAAAATATTACCCGGCGGCCGATATATTTCCGGGTCCACCTACCAAAACATAACCAATGGCCAATCAGAGCACTCGTTTCGTGGGAGTTCGTTGGTCAAGCTGGGCCGACTCGTACGTAGCTACGGTAGCTATTGGACGCTCGAAGAGAAAAAATGAATATTCATCAACTAAAACCAAGACGAGAATGTTGACGACGAGACTTTCTCGGATTAATCATTAATTTAGGATCTAAATGAGCAAGCTATCGTAAGTCAAATAAGCTATATATATGTTATTTTTAATTTGTGTTGTAATTGCAGCAGTTATGAGGATGTAAAGAGTGAAAATCTCGTTGCATATCTCATTCATCGCGGTCCGGTCGAACCGAACCATTTGTTCTGTACAGTGCCTCACAGAAAGAGGTCCCCAGACTTCAGTCTCTATAATCGGAGGTCTAGTGGAACAACCGACGATTAGAGAGACTGAAGTTTTCGGTCTAATACGAATAGTGCAGTGGGTTCTTAACGTGCAAAGGTAGTGACTCTTCTCTACACGGGGCCTCCATTTAACGTCCTATCCGAGGGACGGAGTGTTTTCCACTTATCATAACCTGTGTCTATGAACAAGGCACGTTAACACACAACACAGGCTGCAGTCATCCGTCTGGGTGGGAATCTTTGGTTCGACAGGCGAACGCTTTATCGACTGAGCCAAATTGCCTCCAAGAGATTGAGCGTGCCTAGTATTAATTGAGTATGAACACTAAACTGATCGGCATTCTCGTAAAGTTAGCATCAAATCAGCAATGCGAATCAGAAATTTCAGCTCAGATCTCACGACATGTATTTGTGTTTTCCGGCGGAATCAATATCACATTCGGCTCGCAAACTCTTGTGAGACCGAGAGGCGAGACCGAGAGAAGTCAGCATTTTTATAATTTGTAAATCACATCTTGGTTCATTATGAGCAGGAATACTAGGAAAATAAGAATGTTTTTTTTTAATTGAAGGTAGCTTGCAATATACGTCGGGCCGGGTGTAAGAATGGGTGATTACGAACACATTTTTCGTTTAACAGGAAAATAGCTCTATCATCAACATGCTATGCGCATTGCATGTTGTCTCCCATAGACTTTGTACATAAGCCGCGCCCGCAGACACAAAACAATGCAAGGCGATGCCTCAAAACATTTTACTAAAACTTACCATGCGCGCTGCTTCGACCCATGTTCTCCCTTTGCTTCGCCTCTTCCTATCCTTCATGACCTCAGGATATTTTCCAGCGCTTAAAATGCGCAAGATACGGATGAACAGTGTAATAAACTTTCAAAACATCGTCGATTGTCCTTGCAGAAATTCTCACTCCCTATCCGCCATTTTGCGACAACCGTTGACCTTTAGATGAGATAATTGACCTCTGAATACCGAGAACTAATTTGCATACGACGTAAACTCGCAATCGAGTGCCTGGGCTGCGATGTTCATGCATGTGCTGTCGAACAAAGGAAAAACTGTCATCGGACAAAAGCTCTCCAAAACATCAACTACCAACAAAACAGACAATTCGATTTGCACATGGTTTCTTTAATTCTTTACACTTTTTTTCTTTCAGATTTCTTCCAAAGACAGGCTTTTGCCAACTGATCAACAGTTAATTAAGTTCAATAACTTATTTGGAAACTATAGGCTAATTATCAACTGACCAAAATTATCATTATCAATGTTTTACCCGGCCGTTAAAACTTCAGAAGAAAACATGATTTTGCTTTATCTAACATTTTAAAACAAATTATTAAAAATAGTTTTACTACATTGTCACATGTGCACAATCGAAAGTTCTGTAAATCAGAAAGGCGATTATTTCCAGGCATATCGCCTACCATATCAAATAGAGATTTTTTTCTTCATGTTTGTATTCATCGATTCATCAGGCATTTTAAATTCTTCTTTCGTTAAGGTTCATTAATGCAACACCAATAATGATTATAAAAACAACGTACAACATCAATAATCTCTCTTTCTCTCTCTGTCTTTCTTTCTTTCTTTTGATAATTACAATGCCTCAAAGCTATATTGTGACGTAACAACATCTAGAAAACGGCAAACGGGGAATCCCCTAAAACACATGCCCTATGCGCGCCCTGGAAGTGTGTTGACCCATGACCCAGATCCTATAAGAGTAAAAGTTCCTATCACTGATCAATAGGCGTAAATATTCTCAAAAAGAATGAAACGCCAATAACACCAAAAAAACAGTTTAACATAAAAACTGATCTCGACTAAACTACAGTGGTTCCGATGCAGTTTAGCATATGGTATCAAAGGGATTCCATGACATTTGCTCCCGGCCCCCCCCCCCCCCCCCCCCACTCAGTGTTATTTAGGGTACGCATATGCGTGTTCCAACCGACCCCCCCTTTTCAGCAAAGTCCGGTGTGTAAAGTCAATACGGCTCGACCTTTTTCTGTTGTATACGAGCCTTTTTCAGCATCCCCCCTTTTTTAGCAAAAGTCCGGTGTGTAAAGTCAATACGGCTCGACCTTTTTCTTTTGTTACGAAAAGGACATTTTGGCAACACGCATGCGGTCATTTTGAAACCTGAGTGGGGGGGCCGGGCATTTGCTCCGGCGACAATTGCTCCGCTGTAAATTTCATACACTAATCGAATGGCTAACTTCAACCCTGGATTCAACACTATACTGTGGCGGACACGATTCGCCACCTTGGCTTGACACGGAATATTTGTCAGGATGCCCCGTGTCGGCCAGGCGCTCTCCGTCCGTTTGGACAAAATATATGCCCGTAGCTTGATGGCTGGAGTTCTTTCACTGCTCACGTCAGAGGGCGTATTAACAATCATGCATCCTTCGACTGCAATCGGTCACCCCAATCGTTGTGCACAGCAACAGTCAATTGAACATCCTTCGAGCATAAGCAATCAATCAATCACCATGCTTTGTCAACTCCTGTCACTGATTCTCGATCTCAATGTCTAACTACGGTTTCACTGTTCTAAGAAATCAGACCAATCATGAGTTGCATGTCGAATTCTTTTAATGCAAACCAATCAACGTTCGGGGTAAACTCGTTCAACAAGTACAAGTGTGGACTAGAAGTAAGACTTCAAGTAAAGACTAAGGCCAGCGCCACCTACAAGTAGGCCAACTTTCAGGCCAACTATCAGGCCAACTATCAGGCCAACTATCAGGCCAGCTATCAGGCCAACTATCAGGCCAACTATCAGGCCAGCCTCGGTGAGGCTGGCCTGTATCGGATACAGTGCAGTGGAAAGCCCTAGATGCACAACCTTGACCATCGTAACAATTTCCCTATACATAAACGTGTAAAAGAACAATTATGTCCTCGTTAGTAAAACAACACTTCAACACAATATTTCTGCTAATCCCATAAAATCTTCACATATAATCTTCAGTATAACCCCTTATTCCTGATTAGATCACTACTATACAAGTAATATCCCCAAAAGAAACATGATAATTGCACCAACATGATCAAAATATGTAATTTATGCTCATTTTCCTTCAGTTTGGTAATTGCTAAATCAACGATGCACCATATTGCTATAGCGCATGCTCGTACAACAGAAAATGCTTAACCTTCGTCCAATACTAAAACACTGATTTGTTACAATACCCTACCCTAAACCTAACCCTAAACCTAACATAAAACCCTATTGAAACCCTAACCCTAACCCTACATCTTAGACGAAATAAACAATTGTCGCAGGAGCAAATGTCGTGTCACCATCAAAGGCTGATGAAAGGCACCATGCATATTGCACTCCATCAAAACATAATTCCTTTACCATGCATGCCCCCCCCCCCCCCCCAATCAGATCCGGTACAAAAATCTAATAGGTTGAAAATTTTGTTGATGTTGTAATTGAAACGCTTTTCCTTTTGTGTGTGTCGAACAATACAAAATTAAACGCCAAAGTTATCACTTTTGTGGGGGGGGGCAACCTGGGATCATTGTCTGGGACCCATGACTGACGCATGTAGGTAACGTAGAGCGTAGCTCAGTGGGGCAGAAGATACTAATACAGAACTACCCCCGGATAACGACAAACGTTACTGTAATGATATTGGTGATAGCGCCAGCTATCTTTGAAAAGTATTTTAAGATCTATATACTCTGAATCGTAAGTGGAGTCTCCAAAGTTGCCTTGTTTAGCATCCGTAGTGTAAGGCGTCATATTACATGAAAATAATGATAAAACCAATTATTGCAAATACAAAGGAAGCAGTATTGCTTCATGATTTGGATGGTCATGACATCTTACTAACTCAACAATAGCAGTACTCGTACAAAAGGAAAGATGGTGGGACACAGAACACAGACATATGAACAGACTCCTTGAAAGACTTGTTATTTGATTGAGTTATGACCCCGGCCCCCCCCCCCCCCCCCCCCCCACTCAGGTTTCAAAATGACCGCATGCGTGTTGCCAAAATGTCCTTTTCGTAACAAAAGAAAAAGGTCGAGCCGTATTGACTTTACACACCGGACTTTTGCTGAAAAGGGGGGATGCTGAAAAAGGCTCGTATACAAAAGAAAAAGGTCGAGCCGTATTGACTTTACACACCGGACTTTTGCTGAAAAGGGGGGGGGGGTCGGTTGGAACACGCATATGCGTACCCTAAATAACACTGAGTGGGGGGGGGGGGCCGGGGTTATGACACTTATTTGTTTCAAATGTTTTCAAACTAAAGAAAGGGGGATGTAATGATATTGGTGATAGCGCCAGCTACCGTTGAAAAGTATATGGAGATCTATAATGATGCCAATAGAATCGTACTCTGCATCGTAAGTGGAGTCTCCAAAGTTGCCTTATTTAGCGTAGTTTAAGGCGTCATTATTAGAGTTACATTTTGATAATTATATTTCATTACATTTTAAGAAGTTCGATGACAATAATACAACTTGTAAATCGGAAGTTTGAAGGGGCTCCCCCTCCTATCACGAACAAATATAATCATATGACTGTTCCATTGATTTGTTTTTATTCGATTTTTTTTTTAATTAATAAATTAAAAATTGTGTTCTTGCCTTTTACCTATATTCATACTAAACAATTATTTTGTTGTTACTTCAAAGCTCGTCTGCACTAGTTTGGCCCGCGGGATTATACCTCCTGCAAGGTCACTGACAGGTGGTTATCTAATCAACTCAGCTCTCAAATAACATAAGAAAAGGGGGTCATTGAGGACCAACAGGCACCGATAAGGCATTAGTTTGCTATAGAGGGTGTAAGTAGCTAGTTGGCAGTCGTCAGCTAGCTGGCAGTTCATTTTTAAAACTTTTAAAACTGTTCCTTTTTAAAACTGGATTCAAGAGCCTCTTATTGCCAGGTTTACAATGTTTTCTACATTTTCAGTTTCCTCGCTTTATTCACTCTCTATACTGCCCCGTCTATTCCTGTCCAGTCTGTAAACAACTTTGCAGCCGTGGAATCAATGAACAGGGTTTTACTTCTCCTATAAATGTAATTTGCTACCTATGATATTTGATAAATACCTATATATGCAAAATAAACCCTGGAGGTTTAAAGTTGTAAAGTCCAGGGCAGTTCAACACACACGCAATCATGAAATAAGGATGGACACTTTTTTTTTTTTTTTTTGGTCTCGAAATTTGAAAATTTGACATTTGGCTCCGTTGGGGGGGGGGGGGGGTAAGGTAACCTTTTTAGGTCAGCCGTGGGAATATTTTTTTTTTTTTTAATAATAATAATAATTTAAAAAAAAAAATCCAAAGGGGGGGGGGGGGGTTTAGTGGGGTGATGGGGGGGGGGGGGGGGTTACACACATAAAAATACCAAAGGGGGGTTTAACCCCTCCCCCCCCCCCTGTGCACGCGCCTGGGGGGGGGGGGGGTGTGGGGTTGAAGTCGGTGGGATTTTTTTTATGTCGGTCGGCCAGCAATTTTTTCCCCTTCGAACTGTGACTTTTTATCGGACAAAGAAACATTTTTGAAAATTCAGACAATGATTTAGAGTCGGTACAATGAATCGTCTTCTTTTTCTAATAATTTAATGAAACGTTGAAGCTCCCGCACTTCGCGCGAGAGGGGTGAAACTGAATTCAGACAATTAGGGTTAAGAGTAGAGAACGGTATACAACAAATCGTCTTCTTTCTATAATAACTTAATGAAACGTCAAAGTTACCGCGCTTCGCGCGGGAGGCCTTTCACCCATCCCCTCCCCCAAGCGCGCTCTTTAAGTGATTCGCTTGCTCAATACCGCCCCTCCCTAAAATAAGATCCTAGCTACGCACCTGCGTTAAAATATATAGCTATGATGCTAACTAAGTTGACGAAATAATTTGTATATTTATGTCGTCGACGAAAATGACCATTTGCGCATAACAATTTAGCCTTCGCATGATCTTTTTTG